TCATTGCACAACTTCAAAAGTGTTTTGCCAAGTGTTAAATTGCAAACAAGACGAAACCCACAACACTAGAGCTGTCATTGCTGCCTGGACTTGTTTCCCTCTAAAAATTACGCGGGGTTCTTTGATGATCTGCAGCCTTTGATTCGCATCCAGAACCACTCTCTGTCTCCTTAAGGGAGCCAAGATCTCTCTTTTCTTGAACTCCACGACCACATTTCTCGGGCATATTTTCTTAACATCCACTTTAAGATCGTAGAAAACAGCCTACAAGGTGCAGTGAAGGCTGCCTCGCTCGGAGCTTTTTCCGGATCGATGACGTCATCTTCGAACATTTCGTCGTTGCTAACGTCATCCTGAGTTGTAACGTCATCTATGGAGCTCCCGGCTGTGAGCACTTTGTTGGCATCGAGCGCTTTGACAATTGACGACTTGGTCTGAAGAGGAAGACAACTAAGGGCGTTGTATAAAGCAAGCACGGCTTTGGTCACGGCACCAGGTATCGCCAGGGCAAGAGCGGCCGACTTGTGGACTTTGAACTTAATTTACATTTCTTCGTGTCTAGAATGAGGCGGCATCGAGCGAGTTGCACAAGTCCACGAGATGTTCTCACGGTCACTGAATAATCCTTAAAAATCAGCTCTGCCTCTAAACTACAGATAGATGTCGCCTGTTAGAAGAGAGTCAACACTTTAGACACTACATTGTCCTCACGGCCTAGTTCTTATGTGTGATTAAATGCGTAGGAACCTTGACAAGCTCTTTCCACAAAAATAAAACGACATGCATTTCTAAGATAAGCATCTACATAGAACTACTTAAAATACCTGAGGTAAATGAGGCTGAAGTGAAGCAGAACTGCATAAAGAGAAAATAAACGGCAGTCTCTCGACTGCATGTATTAGTCAGGAGAAAATAATACAAACTGCATAATAAAAACTGCAGAAGCTAAGGAGCCGCAATGTTTCCATGAATTTCCGAGTTTTTAGGAGATTTGGTTTAAGTAGGAAAAACCTTAACATCATAGTTTACGAGAGGCGTAACTAAGGGTACCTGTACCCCCCTCCCCCATCCCCTCATTCTTTGTGGCAACATCAAAACATCATAATTCAGGAAGTGCGAAGACGGAAATTTGGAATATTTATTAAAAAACAAGTCAAAAATTTTCCAGTGCTGAGTACTCCATTTGCCGATCTTTCTTGAGCCTGCTGATCGATAAACAAGGCTGAGCACCGCAATAGTCCCCTTCATGTAATGAGTGCTGAAAAACGTGAAATGTACCCTTCCATTCCAACCCCCCTCCCTCCTCGGAAAAAAATTATAGCTATGCTCAAGGGATTACAATAAAGATTTATAATCTCCTTTTTACGTCCTAAGCAGAAATGCACAGAAAAAGGAACGAGGATGGTTGCAGATGAACACTGATTGAAACCAATCGAACTTGGAAAATTGAGACAAACCAAATGTCCCACGGGAACCTAAATCTTGATTAATATCGTCTTTACTTGAAAATCACCAGAGTTAAAATTTACCATCTTCATTTACCTACATCTTAATTGCGTAAAGGTATCACATATCGAAACTCCTCTTCTGGCTCATTCTCTTATTGACTTGGCTCTCTTTTGTCCAAATGGCAGATCTTGCACCAAATGGGGGCTTTTTATATAAGATAAGAAGTGATCCAGTTGTCTTGGGTCGACTCTTATCTTTGATGAAGGCTGGGGGGTCACTGAAGCGCCGCTTCTGTGCTGAAGACGATGCAGATTAGCTATGGTAAAACGATATCTATTTAAGCCAGGTATGAATCTCGAGATATCATTATAATTGGAAACACCACACATCATCGAATTTGCCGTCTTGTGTCCCACCCATGGGCTTTGTCATATGCCTCAGCTAAGACCTGGAGGTAGCATTTGGATGTTTCGGAGAGTTCGTCCAGCCCGAGTGCTTCGTTCATGGCAGGATAAGAGACGACTGCTTGCCAAAGAGAACCTGCACAACTGGGTGTTAGGTCGTGGAGGACAGAAGAAAAAATCTCTGCGGTTCGTCTAGTATACCGAAGCTTAGTGCTGTCACTGGCCTTTTCCCACTCAACCCAAGGTTGAGAGACAGGTTCAATGTTTTTGGACACCAGATACTCGTTCAACTTTTCACGGAAATTTGGCTTTGAGGTGATGCGCTCTTCACTCGTTGAGGAGACGAGGATTGCAGTATCAGGACTGAGAAACGTCTCGTCATCCCTCAACCCCTGGGATGATATTTCCAGAAACATCAAGTCCGTCTCTAGACTATCAGAAAATGACTCACTGCCAGCACTTGATTCCTCTCCTGGACGGTCTGTTTCCATCTCATGAACCTACGAAAAGGTTTGCTCTATAAGCATCAAATCTCTAAAACCGATTTCTTTGTATATGTTTATAGGGAATCAGTTTCGGGTAATAAAAAATCTCAGGAGCACCAGGTATTGTTGCGGGACATCCAGAAAACAAACAAATGTGGGACAGGAATTAGCCTACCAAAGTGCGGCATAGCACCCCTCCCCTTCCCCACCCCTCAAATAAAAAAAAGTGACCAAAAAGCAGTGAGTTTTACTGGTCAACGAAGGAGCCTTGTCCCAGATTAACAACTGTGTTTGTTTGAAGGGCTTTTTCACGTGTTTTTTCTACCTCGCTTTTTTTTTCCAATTTCTATGCTCTTCTCAAAATGACTCTTTTCCTTTTAAAAAACAAGACTGAGATCATCAATTCATATTTGAAGCTTACCATTGTCTATTGTTCAGGTATCTGCACCACTTGAGGCTCTTTGGGGGTAGACACAGTACTTGCTCCAGCGCCCTCCGCCGGCGTCTGTTCATCTGCAACTTGCCCGCAGATAAACTCGTCACATCGCCTACAAATTGCTTTTAAACAAAAAAGCAAAGTAAATAACTCATATCAATTACTATTTCTAGGTATAAAGTAATCAATCTGTCATCAATCAATGGATTATCAGCTACTCAGACGAGAAAAAAACGTTAGCAATATAAATTGCAAAGTTTCCTCACAAATATAAAATTTGCTAGCTTGAGAAAGTTGAAACTTATAGTGCTTTTTTTTTTGTGTAAGGTATTACAAATAAACGTGAGAAAAAGCAATTTCATGAGAACATTTATCAACAGAAGCAATTCAACTTGCGCGACCCAACTGGAACTAAGGTGTTGGTGTTGCAAAAAATATACATCGATTTTCGGCTATCCACACGGTTGCTTCCTTTGGCACTTGAGGACTTATGTGTCGCTAGATCCTTGGGAATTGCACAAAGGGTTTTCCTAGTCCTCCAACGTATGCCAAAGTCTGCCCTATGGCGTGGGCAAATAGTCAGGGTAAGATGTTTTTGCTCAAATGAGAAAACTCCTGTAAAAAATATAACACTAATTAAATCTGTTGCAGCACTCATTCATAAGCACAAAAAAGTTACCTGAAAACACACAAAATCAATATTTACCGGCTCTGGCTAATAGCAGCTTCATTTCAGTTCTAGAACCTTCATCTGCACTCAGTCCAAGAGTCGATAGATGTCCAGTTACATCTTTCGTGCAATCCTCGAGTGTAATGCATTCCACCTGACCAGGATAATCAGGAGATCGCCCCCAAGGGGTCGCCTTACCAGCTAGCGTTATATAGCTACAGAGAGCCATGAAATGACAAGAAATAATAACTTCTGATGAGAGCACGTATGAAAGCTCAAGACTCGTCCGTGAAATAACTTTTCTTAGATCTGTTACGAAATTTCAACCATTTGCGCAAGAGCTTCGTGGGCAACAATTCGCTTTAATACGCTGAACTGCTTGTAAAGAATGCTGTTCTCCTTCTGTATTCGCTGGAATTCTTGATTTATATCTACATATATATCTAAAACAAACTAAAACAAAGCCCTTGCAGCTGAAACGTTTAAGAGTCATTCAACAGACTGATCAATTGTCACAATTTTCGTAATCGTAATACGTGTAATGGTGATCGATGAAATGACTGTAAGAACATTTCCGACGGTGATTTTATTTTCTCTCAGCTCTCACACAACCCTGAATGTACGACTTCCTATAACTCAATATTTTGTGGAATACAAGCCAAACATTTCCAGAATTAAAGTTTATTTTAAAACCTTTTTCCAGCAGGGAAGGAATGATTAGATTGGCGTTTATTTACACAACACACATCATTTTGCTCGCTCTGGACACAAACATTTGTGGTATTTTCGAAGGGAGGCGGTCCGATTCAAAGCATCAAAGTTTACTCAGGAAATAAATAGTATCATTATATTACGAATATCAAGTTAAAAATTTAAAAAAGAGGTACCAGGTACAATTTTATCGCGTTAAATTTCACCTATTTTTTTGCTCTCATATTAAGCGCTCTTTGAGGGTGTTGCTAAGAAGACTTAAAAATTCTCAGTATCAATGTGTACAGAAAAATTAACATAATGAAAATCGACGGGAAGGCTTTTTCTTATATCGTGTGAAGTTTGGTGTTAATTGAATTCATTTCAAGCCTTCAACGGAGCTTGGTTTTTGCTGTGAATTTTGGACAATCTGATAGGCAGAAAACCGCACTTAAACCGCGTTTTCAAATTTTCGCCAATTTCTAAAAATTTAATAATCGTCGGAACTTTTAAATTTGATTTTTGAAAATAGTTTACCAAAGGGTATCGTTGGGCAAAATATGAGCAATACACCGAAATGGTCGTTGACGGACGATTCTCGATCCTAACAGGCAGCCATTCTTTGAAACAGGTTTTCTATGTATCCTTTGTATCCAAGAGAGTGAGGGAGGAAGGGGGGGACGCTTGTTTGACATTATGGTCTTGAAGAGGGGCGTTTATTCGGGGGAGGGCGCTTACTGTAGCGTGGGCGCTTATTCAAGGAAATGCGGTGTGCAAAATATGACAAAAAGGTCACGCTATATTTCCACGACATTTATTCCTAACTTTAATACTAGGTGCAAATAATTTACAGTATTATACAAGTTAAGTGCAATATTCAACACAGAAGGAACACTTTTCAGTTTACTTGATTCCGATTACAATTCATATGATTCAAATAAAACTTCCAACATCCTAAAGTTTAAAAGTTTAAAAATGATTAAAAGTAAATTTGATATTTCCTAATCTTTTACTATTCCCGGAATTTTCTTCCTTGGAAAGAAATGTAAAAACTAATGTTCCCTTTCACTAATTGTTTCTCCTTTTTCAGTTTGAGACTGGTTCCCGATCTAAAACTCGAAATCATAACAAGGAAAGATTTAAGATTATTGAGAGGACTTTTCAGTGAAATGAAAAGAAATATAATTTGATTGCATTTTGATTTCGATATTGCATATACTTTTCATGCTCTAACTAGCCCCATAGCTTTGATCCCATGAAAAGAACGTTTAGTCTTTCATGAGGTAAGTCACGCGTCATTAATGTGCTGTCTGAGGCGTGACAAGCGAGGGTCACGCAAGGACAACTGAGATTTAACAATCATATTCAATTTGATATAAACTCTAGAGCGGCCTACACGAAAAACTGAGAGCCTTGAGACGAATTCGTCATACTAAGAATTAAATTTAGAAGTAAAGAACAAATGACAAGTCTCAGAAGTTAAGCTTAAGGACCATTCCTAACTAGAGTGAATTTTTATAGCCTGCAATCAGGCCCTCATCATGAGCGCTGCAGGACGCGCGTTTCTCTGCCCGCGGGAGAAAATTTGAGGCAAGTCGAGAAGACGACTGCCGAGGGTCTGGAACTAATAATCAGCCTCATTACCAGTGCCAGACCCAAGGTCTCATACTTTCCCATGGGCAAAGGAAGGCTGGTGCCGAGGCGATCATTATGAGGGCGTGAAACAGGTAAATCAAGTTGGAATAACTAAGTTACACCTCACAAAAGGAGCTTTGTAATCACATTTAACGATAAAAAAAACTTCAAAAGAAGACAAATACAAAATAATAATCTACTGAGAAGGAAAAATGGCAAAATGGATAAAACAAACCTAAAAGATACAAGGCTGGCTTAAGATGGAGAACATTGACGGGACTGGAATTGACGAACGCGGAAAGTTTACTTTGTAGTGCGGAAATCTAGCGGGAGTTTTGGTCAGCGGAGCAAAATTTTCAAGCTCAGAATATCAACGAAAAAGGGAGCGAGATGCAGAGTAGATGATTCGTTGATGAAGATTTCGAGTGAAAATCGAACACGGAGTGCAATTTAACCAATATGCAGAGATTTTTATGACTAAAGGAAGTAATTTTTCTGGCGTCTTATTTTTACAGCTCATTATTTTTCTTAGAACTTTTTTTTAGCGGATCAAGGATAAACCCAAAATCCGCAAAAATCAAAACCCAGCCAAATTTCCAAGTTTCATAATTGATAATGACTCCTAAGCATCAGTCACACAATGCGTGAGTTACGATAGCGTTGCGTGACGAGGAGACGTAACGCGACGTTAAATTTTTCAAGATGCACACTAGGCAAAATGGTTTTCTTTAAGTCTATAAATTAGTGCTGTGTACCAAAGTAAGGATTTACAAACGAGAATCCTCGGAATTGTCCCTGGTCCATTGACTGCAGTAGATCTTTGTCTGTTGGGGTAAACCGTGGTGCTTCCATGGTGAAATCGGGATCAAAATTGTTCGTATCGTGATCTGAACCCTGTAGGGGTTGAACAGGGACACAATTGTTAGCAATGTTAGAGAGGACTTATGAATAAATCTTTCACTCAGGGAAAGACCACTTTCATGGGAGGAGTATCTTTCCTGTTACAATATTCTCGTTTCCAGTCCACTGTACAACCCTTGTTCGGCCCTGTCAGAAAACACTCTCTATTCTCCTTCAACGACTGCTTTTACGGTCGTGTTGGTCCAGAAATATTTTCGCCTTGCTCCACGGTCTTTGTCCAGAGCTCAGTGTGCCCTTGACATCTTAAGTTATCTTTTCGATTTTTTTCGATTTTTCCTTGCAGGAATTTTTGAGGGCAATTCACCAATTTCCTCTCACCACCTCGGAAATTATGTTTCATTTAGTTCTTTGGTCTGCTTTTTTGTTCGTAGTTCCTTCAACGGGAATGTTGTAATGTGTTTTCGCAATTGGTTACACTCACCTCTACAACCTCTCCTAATGTATTAATTCTTGTACGCGTTTTATCATTTCTTTGACAGTAGGGGGATATAACCCCTCGACTTCCCTACCCCCCCCCTCCACCAACAGCACTCGGCCTGGGACTGGTCAAGAGAATTAAGATGCCCACTTACCACATTAGGTTTGAAGGGCGGTGCCACTCTCCTGTCTTCAAGCTTAACCCAATCAATGCGTTCAAAAAACTTGTGATTTCGGATGGCCGGGTTGGTTCCATTTCTGTAGCCAAGCCTCTCCATCGGGGTCCTTTCAAAGAGCTACAGGAAAAACAAAATGCGACTTAGCTTTTGAGCCATAAGAGTGACTAACATCTAATTTCTCTTTGCTGTGTTACAACTGAATCAAACATTATGGCCATGAGAATGAAAAAACATGATCCGCACCAAATTTAGGAGCACTAGCTCGTTCAACAAATTCTCCTTGTCATTAACAGATGTGCACAGAGAACAGTACAGAGAATATGCATACGGATCATAAGGTACAAACTGAGCCGAGAGTTTGTATCATTTTTCTGTTTTTTCAATACACTGTACCCACCTGGCTCAAGCAATCTTCTGCAGGTTGTGAGATCCACTTTGGATAATGAACCTTATCACGGCAGATGGAGTCAAACAAATCTTCCTCATCTTCACCAGCGAACGGAGACTGTTGAGAAAACGAAAACATAACATCAAGTATGCCTATGCCTGGAATTTTTAACACCTCTAGACTATCGAGAAGAGGGAGCTTCCTTGAACAAAATATAACAACATATAGGTGAAAAAATAATGGTAACGGTTATAGAACGGACTGTACTCCAATTCAGTTTTGATTAGTGCAGACATACAGTGCTTTTCGACTGAGTATCGTAAAAGCAAAACCAAAGTAAATCCGAAGAAAAGAAAAATGCCCTTAAGAGCCGATAAAAACTCAAAGAAAACCAAACCAACTGCATAAAGCGCGGGAAAACGCGAGTGACCAAGTTGTGATTGGGTTTAGTTTTTTATCTAATTGGTTGAGATAGAGACGTGACTTTTCTATAACAATCAGAACGAAGTAAAGCAGAACCAAAGCAATCCCGTCTTATTTGTGACACTAAATTGCTCTAATAAATGGTTTTTTTGAATAACGTTGGAGATTCTGATGGAAATTTAAAATATATTTAACGTGTAACACGCACCTGACCAATCAGCATCTCGTATAAAAGAACACCAAAAGACCACCAATCAGCTGCCGAGTCGTAACGCCATCCCTTCAGTATCTGCAACAAACGAGGTGAGTGAAACATTAGTAAAGTTTTTAATTGAGTATTGAAAGAAATCTGGAATTGTAATAATTTTCTTTTACTTTGTTATGTGATTGGTCCATAAAAATTCGCGCCACCCTCTTAACCGGTCAGATGCAAAACTAACACCAAACACGTCGTAGGAACCCGCGTTTTCCCGCGCTCTGTTCTTGTAATTGGCCGTCTACAATTATGCCTCTTTCTCTCACTCGATACTTAACTTAACGTGTGCTTTCCTCTTTCGCTAAGGTCGGTCAATTATCGCAAAAAGGAATCACAACGGCCGATAAGAACGAGGTAATTGTCACAGGAGAATATACTTACAACCATTCTGAAGCGCGGGAAAACGCGGGTGACCAAGTCGCGAATAGTTTTCATTTGCATCTGATTGGTTGAGAGGACGGCACGAGTTTACTCGACCAATCACAGGGCGAAGCATGATCAAAGAAATCTATTTTCGGCTTCGACAAATGTCCAATGGCAAGCAACAAAGAACAACACAAAACACAGACAAATAGAAATAAAAATTTCAAACCGACCTCGGGTGCAATGTAATCTGGCGTTCCACAGAATGTTGTCGCCTTCTTAGATTCGGAAATTCCTTCCTTGCACATACCGAAGTCTGCTAATTTGATGTGACCATCTGCATCCAGCAGAACATTATCGAGTTTTAGATCTCTATAAATGACAGGAAAAAGAAGAATCGTGCATGAGTTAAGGGCTGGGGGCATCTAATTTAGAAACACGCTTTTTAGACGGCAATTTTCAAAAGGAACAAATATACAACAAAGTGCAACCCATTTAAATGTCCTTTGTTGAAGAGCAAATAACATATTAAGTATTTTACTGCGCAAGACACGAAACTGGTTCAGAGTTATAAGTCTACAATTTAAAGTGTTGGAAGTTCAAATTGAGTTTTTATGGAAAGTGACGGTTGTAAACTGCAATTAATCAACTAATCACCAACATTACGACTCAGTAAAGGGGGAAATGTTACAAATGATACTTATATCTGCAAGGAAATTGGTACCTGTAAACGATTCCTCGACCATGTAAGAATTCCAAGCCACACACAATTTCAGCAGCATAGAACCTGTGTATCAGTAAAATAACAAAAAAGAAAAACATCAGTGACCGTGTTCTACCAGTAAACGGCCCGAAGGGAGGGAATATAAACGACCACGACATCATTGTGACATTTTTTTCATTTGATTTGATTGAACGAGAAGGTTTCGAGTCTTTGGACCAATCGCAAGAATAGCAATAATAACGAGATCCCGGATCAGAGCGCTTTGCGGCAGAGTGTTGTAAAAAAAAGCAACCTGCTTGAAGCGCGGGAAAATGCAGGCAACCAAGTTGGGATTGGTTTAGTTTAGCAATTGATTGGTTGGGATGGTGGCGCGAGTTTTCCGGACCAATCACAAAGCGAAGCAATTGAACTTTGTTCTATAATCCAAACATGTCTGTGATAACGTACCTGGATCTTGTCTCATCAAACTTGCCGACAGTTTGTATGTGGAACATCAAGTCACCGCCTCCGAGGTACTCCATGACGAAAAATAAGTGATCCTAAAAGCGGTAAGTTTCATCCTTAAGTTGGGCTAATAAACACTTAAAACTTAAGAAGGGCAAATATCACAAGTAGCCAAAGGTAGCCTTAAAACAAGCCAACTGCTTGAAGCGCGGGTGACCATGGAGCGAACAGTTTTGGCGTTGCAACTGATTTGGTTCGGGAAGGGCGAGTTATCAAGACCAGTCACAGAGCATTTTAGAGAACTCTTCATTCAAGAATTGTAAGTAACACGGGATTGCATCAAATTTGTTTTATTTTGCTTTATGATTGGTCCAGAAAACTCGCACCACCCTCACAACCAATCAGAGGCAAACTAGTACCACCTGCGTCTTGGCAATCCGCGTTTCCCGCGCTTTAGGTAGTTTGGTTGGTTTTGTTTCGAGTTCTCATTGGCTCTTCTTGATATCTTCCTTCGTTCTGATTGGCCCGTTTATGATTACTTTGGTTTGGGTTTAGTGAACTCAAGGGTACATTGGAATACCAGCTTACATTGAACTCAGAGTTGAAAACTGTTCGACAACTCATCATACCTGAGACTGAAACGCAGAATGAAGATGAGTCAAAAAAGGATGCCTCGTCGCCAGTGCCAGAATTCTTCTTTCCACCATGGTGCATTCAACATCATCATCTTCTAAAACCACATCTTTTTTCAGTGCTTTAATTGCAAATGCTTGTTTCGTTTCTTTCAGCTCACAGAGTAGCACCTGAAGGGAAAAAGTATAAAAAACTTACTTTGATATCTGCACTTAACTCTCTTTAAGTTTCAAACCACGGTACATTTCCTAAAATCCGCATAAAAGCAGATTGATGTCTTAAACCCTTTTAGCCCCTAAAAGAGACAAGCGTCGAATCTTTCTATTCACAATATTACCCCTGAATCACACATTAAAGTCACAATGATACACAAATTCTCCTTGTCAGGGCCCTTGGAAATATATGGAAAACAGTATATTGAACATGCATTTTTATGTTAGGGCGTAAAGGGTTAATTGCTAAAGTTAGTTTTGTTTCAGAGTATGAAGAGAAAAATTACAATTTCATTCAGTACATCTAACACTTCATTTTCCTTCGGTTTGTGACTGTCACATATCTTCAACTCCAATAACTACGATTTTGTGACTTTCACTCGAGATCGCTTCAAAAGCGTTCCAATTTACGTCTCATTTTACCTTGCCAAAGCTCCCTTTTCCCAGAACTTTAAGCAGATTAAAATCTTCGATGTGGTAGAGAGGTTGTTCAATCCTTCTGACATCTTTTCCTTTGATACTGACTGTCCTCTGAGGCACAGGTGGAGAAATTGCGTCCCACAGAGTTTCATACACACCATGGTCGTCGTCATCATCATCGTCATCATCATCATCATCATTGTTACTACGAGCTGTGGGAGAAGGTTTGCCCCCTAGAGCTTGCCTTTGCTCTTGGCTAATCTTGCGTATCCTCTCTTTCTGCAGAGAGTGATGAGGAATCAAATTTAAAAAAACATGGTCACGCAACGCTTTCGAGCAGTATACATACATCTTATTCGATAGTTTAACATACATGTATAATACGCACGGATATTTTGCGAGTTGCATAGTATTTTTTTTCGAGCTCCACAGAGGAAGTACAAGCAATGAGCAAAATATTCGCGCGTATTATATGTTAAACCATCAAATGAGGGATTTATTATTCCATCATTATTTCGTCTCTAACATTTTGGTCTCTAGTTTTCAAAACAGTTCCCACGTTTTCGCTCCGCCGCTCCGTTTTACAAACTGAGACAAGCCTTGGACAGGTTGCCATCCACAAGACCCTGGCACCAAACGCGTCACCTTCCACTCGGAAACACAAACTTGTGTGAAACCATAGATTAGACACAGTACATTGCGAGTTACCTAGGCTCAGCTTAACTGCAACAATAAGTGCTCACCTTCGTGATGGCTATTGCCTCCGCGAGCATCATTTGGTTGATACCGCAAGTGTTTGGAATGAATCTCTCGCACTTCTTGTGGTAGTTCAAGCCACATTCTAGACAAGACACAAAACTGTTAGTCTCCTTCGCAACCGTGATTTGGTTTCATCGGTTGGGCCTGTCAGCTAAATGATTTTTTTTTCTCTTCTAAAATAAACTCAAAATGACAGTTACCTTTGCACTTCAGGCCTTGTTTGTATAATCCATACAACATTGATCCACAATGGTCACAAAAAGTTGGTCTTAAATATGTCGTTAGCCCCAATTTATGTGGAATGTCAACTTTGAATCTCTCCTTCATTTTCTAGAAAAACAAAGATTACAACAGCATCAGTAAAAGAAATTGCCAGTGAAGAAAGAAACAATTCCTAAGATCTGATTGGTAATTCTTTCCTCTGTCTCCTACACATTTCCATAGAAATAATTTACAAGAGTTGGTCTTAGGTCAAGATAATAACTCCACATGCAGTGCATTCAAGAAGATGAGAGGAAGATGGCTCCTTTGCTAAAGTACTCGCTGAAGAATTTCCCTCTTGTCATCTGATTACTTCCAATCAGAATAAACTGGCTTCAAACAGAGGTTTCGGTGTTAATTTCCCTAGATGATCGTTAAATATTCGTCTCCTTTATAACAATAGTTTAACTGATCGTCTTATTTCTGATCAAAATCTTCCATTTGCTGACTTTTAAGCCAGGTCCTCAAGTTTCAGACAAACAGTCCTCTGAAAGGACATATGGTTACTGGGTAACGAAGTTTGAGTCAGTATGTCCTTGGAAACTTAAAATCTTTTTTGTTGGAAATGAATGCTGGAATATTTGATAAAACAATATCAACAATTTTTATCAAAACTCATTTATAAAGGTAAAAGTTGACAGAAAGAACTCTAAAAGATCTCAAGGTGTTTTGGGTCTCACTTCACTACTCTGCTCAAAAACTTCCAAAGTTTTAAAGAAGTTACATGTTTATCACTTCTAGGAGTTAAAATCAACCAATACCTTGGTTTCCTCAGCTACATTTTGTGTTCCAGGGCAGTGACTGACAATTCTGTCATGACACTTTTTATGACACACCTTTGTACAAACTGAAAGTTCAAAAAGGTAATTTTAGCAAATGCACCATTCATGGAGAGAGCAGTAGGAGACACAGAGTATAACCCCAACCGCAGTTTTACCAAAGCAGTGGGTCTTATGTATTCTTTATATGAGGGTTCTTTTCATTAAATAAATGTCCTTCCAATGCTAGCTTTTTGCCCTCTTGACACTGTTCACAAAAATATATGTTCAGATAAAAGATTCAGCTAAATTCAAGATAGTTTAGAATGTGGTTTTGTTAAAAAGGGCTTAACTTTGTTTAAGTAACCTGCCCTTAATGTTTAGCATGCTGGACCCTGCCCCAGATAATGAGCAAAGGGGTCCAGGTTTCAAAAACTGGATGCCTCAATGAATTGTGTTCTTGCAAAGATTACTCTCAAGTACAAACTTCAATTCTCTCAAAACCACAAAATTTTGTTTTTTCAACACAAAAATCTGCAAAATATAACTTTGACCTACAAATAAAAGTTTCATTCCTTCACTCCTCTTCCTTAATTATTCTTTGTCTGTTGGTGTTAACCCATAAGTGATAATATAAGATGCTCACAAGGTTGTCAAAACAATTTTGTGTAACAAGACTGTGATACAAAGCAGGCAGCACTAAGAGCTAAAGGCCCCTTCCACAGGCAAGGGCTCTGGGAGCTGCCGAGCCCTCCAAGCATTCAAAATAACAAGTGGATTTTTTAGAGTTAATAGTGAAATGGGCTGTTTGCTAAATTATTTTGGCTGCCCGGTGCTCCCTTGTGCTTTTCCAAGCTGTGCTAAAGGGGTGACTTCTAATTCCCACCCTTGCTCAGTAACATTAACTGGCATTAAAAAAAAAGAAAAAAAATTAGTTAAGCATCGATTATGAATAACAAAGCTCACCAGTACATTGATATCCTTGCTTTCCAAATCCCCTGAAATAATAAAATTAATTGACAGAAGTTTATATTGGTTAGATATCAGGTGCTTACTACAGCTTATTGGAGCTGATGGCACATTTTAATCAGTAATGATAAACATAAATGTTTCAACAGTCTTAAAAATGGTTTGAAGTAGCTTTAACTAACACTTACCACATAAATTCTGTACAAACAGAACAAAACACAGGCTGCCGAAAGAATCTGGCAACATAATTGTGACCATTAAAAATGTGACATTTCTGTTTTCGCATGGCACCACGCCTTCCAGTGAGCCCACTGTGGTTTTCATGGGGTTTACCTTCTTTGGTAGGGTCATCTGTAAAATCACAGGTAAACAATAATAATCAAAGTAAGCAGCACATTTTATAGAGAGTTATAGAATAAGGTAATCTTAGATCAAACACGCTAAATAGTGTGCAAATACACCCTCATTATTTTTTCCCATCACTCAAGGCCTCATACTATCCTCTGGATAAAGAAACTCTTAGGCCGAGAGGCTAACAATGAAGGCCTGTTGACAGACTACAATTTCAATAAGATAAAGCTCTGAGTGACATCTGATACAGCAGTCATTTCTGCCTCTCTTTCACAAAATAATGTCAAATAATTCCTTAAGAGAATGAAGCATTCTACCAGAAACACTTTGGGCTTTTTTTTAAAATCCATTTAATCCTTGAATCATTTGCTCTGATCTTTTCCATTTACGATTTTTTCACTTTCCCATAATAATATGTCAGTAGTTTGCTAATTATCTAGCAAAAAAAGACTAAAATCTATCAACCAATCATTCAAAAATCAAACTGATGGCAAAGTAAAATTCATTGTGGTGTTAGAATTTCAACTTTCTCAGAATACACTCAACAATAACTTCCCCATTTTCCCTGAAGAGACAACAAAATCAGTCATCAAAAAATTAACAGATGAGAAATTAAAACTCATCATGGTGCTAGAATTTCAACTTTCTCAGAACACACATGACAACAACATCCTCATTTTCCTGGAATTGTCTACAACAAGAAACAAAATAATTACCTAAAACTTCAATAAAATGCCGCACTTGAACCAGTAGTCTGCCATTGGGTTGAAGATCCAGCTATATCAGAGAAGGAAGAAAAAAACATTTTTTCACTTACAACTCAGCCATTATTTTTTAATGATTAAAATCCAGTAAGCTGGTTTCACTATTATAACACCTTTTTTACCATTTATCAAATTGAACTGTGATCAGAGAGTTGTTTTTTTAATGTCTCATACAGCTAACATGAGGTTAACCATTTGAGCAAAGCTAGGCATGTTGAGTTCATGCCAGTGAGAATCAGGCAAGTGCCTGTGGAACACAAGCATCTACTTCACCAGAATCTCTTCCCACTGCTTTTACCCTTTCATTACCAAGATCTGAATGAAAATTCTCTTAATTGTCTGATGCACATTCCTTAAAAAAAGATTGTGTTAAAAAATTGGTGATGAATCAAATGATAATCCCCTATTTAACATTCTTTCCAAGTCTCATCACATAGCTGCTTGATAATATAGAGATACTGTGAGGAGAGATTATATCTTGGTCACTTGGGAGCAAAAAGGTGAACTCACTGTTTCCTTCCCAGTTTTAATAAATCTCTTTGGGTACATAAAAAATTAAGCTAAAATTTATTTCAGATCAAGACAAGTCTAATTTGTAATCTTAGAAGCTGGTACTTCAAGATTGAGTAGGCAGCAAAAGCACTGTCTGCCAGTGCTTCTGAAGAACATTGCAATGTGGTTTTTCTGTTCTGACTCAGCTTGCCTACAGGAAATGACAATCTCCTGTTTGCAAAGCTGCTGTCAAGCCCTGATCAATACAAACATAGGTTGAAAAATATATTTGCCAAAATCGAATCATGTCATTTCAATACTGCGACAATCATCTCTTGTTTAGTTGAGAGATAATATTGAAAGTAATTAAGAAGCATCATGTAGCCAAGGCATGATAGAACACAACAATAATATTGTCTCCCATCAATGCAAATCAGGTGATTATATGAATTTTTATTGTGCTTAAATAATATTTGATGCATACCTCTGGAAAAAAAAAACATTGGAAACTACAATGTAAACGCATAATTGAACTAATAATTTGTTTCAAAGATGGGATCCCTTTCAGTTACTTCTCCAGGGACAAATTTAGAAAGACATTAAGAATATTCAGCCGAGTATTCAATCATTTTACAAAGAATATCAGTGCGATTATTTCAAATGGCAAAGGTAGTCTGTGCTTTATTCCTCACACTCCTGAGATTCGTCCAACACAACAAGTTATACAAAAGATTTTGATGCAAATTTTGCAACATTCTTCGACGATTACAAATATCACATACTTTACTGTCGCCAAGAGCTTCAGCATTACAAACCGATACAAACTATATTTAAAACAAAATGTACTTTTATGCAAATTTGTAGCTCGGATTCCGTTTGAAGTGCGATAGTAAACCTAATAATTCGCTTTTTATTCCCAAAGTAATTAAAACGCTTTTGTTTCCCATTCTTAATCTCAAGGCATCTCTAAGCTTCTTAATCTCAATTAGCCGTGAAATTAATTTGTACAGAGCAGAAGGAAAAATAACGAATACATGCTTCTTTAGACTAAAACCACGATCGATACAATCTGAAAGGTTTTAATATATTAGTATGGATATTTATAGGGATGGCAGATGTCGAAACATGATTGAAGTTTGCAAGAAGAGGAGGCCTATTACCGGGAGAAGTTTTCACAACGAAAATAGAAGCGTAGTTAGAATTTGATACGAACTCACCCAAACACTGGAAAAACCATGTGCATCACGCTTGCATTGATCAACCAAGAACTGAACTCCAATTGAGACATCGGCTACAACCTTTCCAGTAGGTTTCTGTAGAACTACAATGGTTATTACTCGGCCTTCGTATAAATGAGTATCAAAGCACTTGTTCCATTCTGGATAAATTGTCTTTTTCTTCTGCACTAGTGAAATTCCCTGCGATGCAGACATCACTGCTTCTTTTATGTGCACAGCGCAGTAACAATCAAAGGACTGTGGGTCTTTCACCCAAGTCGACGCCGGCTCGACTTCTATCAATTTTACTCGGATAAAACCCATGATCACTTCACCGTTAACGCCAGAAATTGAAAGAGTTATATCCCGTCTTTAACGCTCTACCTCCGTAGTGACATATCTCCGCGTATATGTGACTGTTTTAAAGATTTCCGTTGCTTGTGATTCTAAGAAGAGACTATCGTTCATTTATAACGTGACTCAAAGTTTGAGAAGTGACCCCAATGTTGAGTCGACCCGTGACATCTCCTATATTTGGGCAAGTGCTTCCAAATTTGGGTGTAAAACTCACTTCCGTTTACTATTTGTTTTGTTTATTTCCGGGGGTGTTCATAAAACGACTTCAATACTGTGAAGACCTTGACGAGTGCTTTGACGTAAAGCTACGCGGTGGAGGGTCATCATCTCCGGATATAATTCATATGGTAATCGATTTAATAACTACCAAAAATACCCAGACAGGTAGTTAAAAAAGAGAAAAAACAGGCGCAATAATGATAATAAACATTCATTTTAAAAGATCTGAAATGTTTGCGAGCGTTTATAGTGTGAAAATTATACCTCAATAGATTATATCGGAACAATGAAGTAATTTTTTTTGAAATGACACTTCTTGCGATCCGTTTCGCAGAAGTTTACAGTTTATTTGAAAATTTTACAGGTATAAATATTTAATCATTCTTTACAGCATTGAGCTAATTCCCATGGGAAATTGCATTGTTTCTGGGGTAAACAGCAAACCTTTGTTTGTATTGTTAAAATGAAGGAGCGTCGTAAAGGATTAGTTCTGCAAACAGCGCACCTAAATGTCTGTGCGTCATTTCGGAAAGACAAATCGTTGATTTATTTACAGAAAATGGCTAAACTACAGAATACCCTGCCACTTATTTACATGTCATTATTGTGTTATGCCTTGTTCTTGAAAGCCTCACGGCACATGTAAATGAGGTAGACCAAAGTGGCAGGGTATTCCGCTGTTTCCCAGAAAATACCACCTTTATTAGGTGATTGGCATGTTAAACGTTAGCTAAACAGTCTACTGTTTAATAAAAGTAATGAATCAGCAACCACATAAGTGCAACGGTACAGTCATTGTCACGTACACATTGAAAATTTCAGATGTGTCTGCAGGACCTGGGACATATACTAGTGCTCAGACCTCTGATGTAATGTAAGTGCAATCTGCCTCTCTTTGAACAATGCAGAAGATATCGTGTTTAGAGAGGCTAGGGACCTAAAAGGGCCTTACAGGAATTTCTTAAGCCAGATTCGATTAAGTTTTGCCTTTTGTTTGTGTAAGGGATAATATTTAGCGATGACATCGCATCCAGCCCGCAAGCGACGAAAGCTGGTGTTACACTTGGATGTAAACAACACCGTGTTCATTGGTGATTCTATTACAAAACAGTTGACACCAGAATCAGCTTTGAACGAGTATCTTGTGGATGTCGTTTGGGGAAAACTGGACACCACAGGATTATGGAAAAGCGCAGATAACAGCCTACATGACAAACCCCCTGATCAAGAAGCGATATCTTACTATCGATTTGCACAATCAAATTATAATGGAAAGCCACGAAAACATTTTAAAACGCACATCCGCAACTTCACGGAAGAAGAGATTGGAAAACCATTCAGGAGCTTTTATAGCCAAATGCTGACGGCTCTGGAATTCCCAGGAGACCTAAAATGCAGTAATGGGGAGCTACCCTCCTTCAAGGACAACTCTGGAAATTCTTATCATTGTATTGTACCCTCCTTTTACAAACTTTTGGACCATTTGTTCAAAAGTGGACGAGAGTTTGCCATTATTTTCCGGACTTTTGGTGGGGACGGTCAAATCGTGTTGAAGGCTGCAAGAAATTTCATTGACGAAATGATCCTCAAGAACCCACAGCATCACCAGACATCTGTTTCAAGTGGGAAGCTTGTGGACAGTTCATCATTTGGATTCAAATTCACAACTGGGACAGTGACACAGTCAAATGACTGCATCTCTTTGGAATTTCCAGGAGAAGTTACACTTTCAAACTCATGGGATATTTATACATATTTCAGCCATGCCACAGGGATACAACTAGTTGTAGATGATTATTCATGGTGGAAAGCCCAAGATTTTTGCTCAACAGCAGCAAAACCTTTATTAATTGATCCATACGATGAATCAGTTCATCACATCATGTTTGACGATAATTTCCGTCCATGGGAGCCAGAGGATAGCATTGTCAATGTATTAGCAGTAAAGGATGAGCAGTTTTGCACAGTGGATCCAGCAATTTTTGATAATATGTGTGTAGTGAAAGCTGATCTTTATCAAAGCATTTGTAATGAAAACTATTTCGTAGATAAAATTGAATTGTGTGAAAGGAATTACCAGAAGTTTGTGTTAGAATCAGAAAATAAAGAAGTAAGTTAGTTTTTACCATTTGATTAAAGTGATCAGTGGGGAATGTTGGGAAGTTAAAATGGAGGCATGAATGAAAGTATGAAAGAGAAACTGGGCTTACTAGCAGTAGGCAGGAAACTTGGAGCACCTTAAATCTGTGTAGGTAATAACAGTTTGGTGTTAATAAGCACAAGTAAATTTTTAAAAGTCAACAAAACTGCACTAGCTATACGGTCTCATGCTATTTGATTTCCTTGAAAAAAATTAACAAGCGCTTAGTTACATAAAATCAGACAAGAAATCATGTTGTTACTTATTAATAATTTACATGGAAAAAGGATCACCGAAAGGAAAGACAGACAAAATTTTTACAGGGCACACTACTTGTAATTTGCACTCATATTACAACTTTGCACTTGTGTTACATGAAAAATGCACTAATTTTTAGCCAATCAGAAGTGTGTGATTTTTTTCATCCATTTTAATATTCTTGAAATACTGTTGATCATATTCAGAAATGGAAACCTTTGGGGAAATATTAACCCACCTCCTCCTTTCTCCTTCCTTTTTCTGTCACTAACCCCCTTTGTTCAGACTTCCCCTGCTGTGAGAATCAAAGATGGCAGCCATGATTTTCACCGAGAAAATTTATACAGAGCACTCATCGGCTAAAATCCCACCTGCAATACTTGCAAGGGATATTTGATGTGCTTTTCTTTGTCCACTCCCACCCCTTTAGTTTTTATAACTGCTACATTTTTAGTCACTCCCGCAAACTGCAGCTGGACACAAATAATTTGACCAAAGAAATCACACAACAAAGCAATCAAGCTTGAACAGACACCCTCAGTTTTCCTTTTATTTTTGATGGAGTAAAACTTTCTTTAATTTCATCTCCTTTTATCTGAAAGGTGTGGCAAACTATAGTAGAGACATGGAGATACATACCGTATTTACCCTTGTATAATGCGCACTTTCCTTCTATGAAAATCCCATCTAACAAAAGCCCGCTCCGATGAAACATTTTCAATTTCGATCCACAAACACAATGATTTGGAGGGCATAATGGACTCCAGTATTTAAGAAACAGCACGAGATAAAGGTCGCGACATGTTCGATAAGAAAGAAATGGTAACATTACTGATCAGTTGTAGGAAGCGGTCGTTCCATTGACAAGACAAACAAACATGGCGGAATGTCCAACATAAGGGCATATGGAACGATCTGATCAGCGGTCGTTCCATTGACAAGTCAAACAAACATCGGAATCAAACTAAGTGGAAAATGGATTTAATTTTTTCCTCCCATATCCCAGAAGTAAAGGCAAGTGTTAACTGAATTACTTGCATAAAATTTTGGCAGTGATGTGCGTTTTAAGTTTGCAAAATTAATGAACGAGAATCAAACAGAATCAAGTTGTCCAAGTTGCAGCCAAAACACTTTGATTCAGCAGATTTTTTTTGGATGATGTTTACCTTTTGTTTTCCCTTCTAGTGAGTGATATAGGCTTACATCAGGATTGAAAGATGGCATTTATAGATGATCCAGAATTTGTTATTGCTCATATTCGACACTCATGTGTCGTGACAGATGAAACAGGTAATTCAACAATGTCCACAAACCAAATTCCCTTTCTGCTCAACAAGTAGATTCTATGTTGTCATCTGTCTGTTCAGTAATAGATCACAGATGACTTCAAAATATGGTAAGAAAAAAAAAAGTGGTACATGAGACGAGAATGTCAATGATGTTCTTACGACATTTTGTCTGCTGTGATGTCTTACTGTACAGACCCGTGGCAACATAGAATTTTTGTTATTGATAACAAAGCAAAATTGTGTTAATAATGATGTCATCTATGTGTCTGTCCCTCTATAGATCATAAGTAAGAACCGATCAAAAAATGTAGAAAAAAAAACCAGATTATAGTCACTAATCTGGTTCCATGGACAGATACCCAGCCATTGATGAGCTTTGTTGGGAACTGGCAAGGGTGGCAGGATGACAAAATCCAAAATTAATCTTATTTCTTAATCAATATACACAGTAGCTCAACACTTTATCAGAGAATTTGATTTAATGGTCAGATTCTCTTCTACTGTACAGGGATGTGTGAACAAGTAATTATAAATGAAGAGTTTGAAAATGAAAAAGCTATCAAGCACCGCAAGAGAATCATTGGAAAATACACAGTTGATAGGTGTGTAGACTCAAGCTTACAGTATTTCTTTGAAATTTAAGTTGTAAGGGGATCACCAGTCATTTTCTTAAGAATGAGATTGATGATAATGAATAGTAACTGGGAGCATCATTTTTGTCTTGATTGTCACAGTTGTCACCACTATTTTTGTCTGGGCTTTTGGTAGTTGGCCTATTGCGTTGATAATTTTTCTTGACAGAACACTTTGGCTTTTGCTGTTTAACTACCAAGACCAGATTGTTGATTCTCCCCTCCAGCGGTTACACATTTACTTAATTAATATGAATTAGTTATAAGAATTTGGTGTTAGATCATAATAACTTTTACCTGACAAGTTTGAGTATTCTCATCACTTGTTTGCTGCATAGTGTTTGGATGTTATTGGGAGAAGTGATTAACATGTAACTTCTCCCTATAATATCCATACATTATCCAGCAAACAAGTTGTGAGAATACTCAAACTCATCAGGTACAAGATATTACCTTGATCAAACACCAAATTCTCACAACCAATTTACAAAGAAATGTGTAGCACTAGAGAGGAGAATTAACAATCAGATCTGGGGAGTTAAAGGGTTAATTGAATTTAAACACTAACAAGGTGGTGTTAATTTGAGGGTAGCTTTGATTTGAGAGTGGGAATCATTTCAAAATCATGTCATTTAAATCATCAACAATAATTTATGATAGAACAATGGTCAAACTCATTGGTAGTGCTTAAAGTGGAAAGTTAACATGTTTTAAGTTATAAAATGAATAAAGGGGTAAGTTTCTAAAGAAACTGTGGTGCTGTGTCAGTGGGAGAGTATAGCAGGTAATTTAGTGTTAACAACTGAGTTGAAAACTTAAATTAGCCACCGTAAAGGGTAAAAAAGCTGACTTTTCAAGCGTTAGCCCTTCATCAGTAACCCCATCGTTGCTCTGACAAAGGGCTAACGCTAGAAACATCAGCTTTTTTACCCTTTACAGTGGCTAATTTATGTTTTCAACTCAGTTGTTAACACTAAATTACATGTTTTAAGTTGTGTTATGCTGTTTTGATAATTATAAATTTTCAGGGATGATATAGATAGTTGTATTCTACTTGTTATTTTCTTCTTATTCTCATCAAATTAATATTAGTGGCATTTTTCTGAGTGGGTGTCTAAATGTATTGTTTATTCAAAGATGGTATTTGTAGATAAGTGCAGTATTAAGTTAGGAGGTGGCATTAAATTAAGTTACTTACAGTGTTAGTGCTTTTCACATCTATCCAGACTGCTCTTTACAACAGTTTTTGTTCTTTTTTTTTTCCAGAGATTCTTTTGATTTTCCAAGTTATCCTCAATCATTTGACATTGCCGTCAGCCCTGGAATTAGCAGAAACTCCAAGTCGCAAGGAAAGGGTGATAGAAGTAGAAGAGAAAAGTGTGTTACTTTCACTTCCTTACCATTCAGAGTAGTTTTTAACCCTTTAACTCCCAGATCAAATGTGTAATCCTCCTTACTGTCAACCATACAATTCTTGTAAGGTTAGTTCAGAGAATTTAGGATTGGATCAACTAATTATCCCCAAATTGATATATTTTGTTGTTCTCATCACATATCTGGTTGAGATTGTATTGATATTGTCAAGTAAAATTCTGTCATGGTCACTGATGAGTGTAGGAAAATGAAAACCAAAGTAATCACAACTACCAATCAGAACAAAGGTTAACATCATAAATTATGAACCCTTCACACTCTAACATCAGTATTCATATTCTCCATACTGTTCTCTGTAGATTTACTAAGGTGCTGACAAGGGGAATTTATCTGATAATCAAGAGTTTCTTTAGTTGGTGATCATTTCCTACATTCTCATGACATTAATGTGTGCTTCAGTGGTGATAGTGTAAGGAGAAATTAGATGCTAATCACTCTAAGGGTCAAAGGGTTAACCACTGAGAACTCAAAGTAAAAACAGGTTAACTGCCTGAAGTGCAGGAAAATGTATTTGTCCAAGTTGAGATTGGTTTTTAGTTTTGCATTTGATTGATTGAGAGAGAGGCATAGCCAAGTTTTCTTGACAAATCACAGAATTAGGTGAAAGAAAACCAAAGCAATCAGGGATTACTTTGAATATTCAATTGAAAACTGCTTTTTGTCAACTGTACATGAAATAAATATGTTACCATAGTCATGCCCCCTCAACCATTTAACCCCTAAGAGTGACGCACATCTTATTTCTCCCTACAATATCAGCCCTGAGTCACACATTGAGGTCATGAGAATAAAGGAAATGATCACCAACTAAGTTGTCTTTACAAGACTATTTTGATTAACTTTTATTAAATGTATTTATTTTAAGAAATGGAGAAGTTAGGTGCACAACAGTTTCATGGAAGGAAGGACAGAAGAATGCTATGAGTGGTATGACATTTTTTGATAATTTTAGTCTAGAAAGTACAAAATGCGTGGATCAAAATAATTTATAAGATTTAATAATTATTAAATATTATGATTGTAGTTTGTAATATATGATATCAATTCAAAACTAGGGCTTATGTTTTGTTGTTACAGTTGGTGTCTCCCAGAGTCATGTTCAAACTTGTTTTTCTTCGGATCAAACTACATTTTATTTGTCATACATGTGAACACTTTGGTTCTGACAGAAATTTTGAAATCAGAAATTTTTAAAAATCATATAATTAAGTAAAAAGGTAAAGAGTGCATTAGAGCAAGGAGTATCAGTGCTCCCCTCTGGATGTGGTGCCAGTCCATCACAAGCTTTTCATCAGACTTCTCTGACAATTGTAGACAAAAAAAGAATTCTACTGAATTTCTTTTAAAGCTTTTAGATCTGAAATCAGATTTCACACTAACCTTAAGTTATCTTAACCCATCTTTGAACAGCCCACCCCCCTAGGTGTATAGAGGCACTGTGAGAGTTAAATGTTTCACCAAAAAACACAACACAATGACCCAGCTGGTCTCAAACCCAGACCTCTCAATCCAGAGTCCAGCTCATTAACAATCAGGCCACTCCATCTCCCACTAAAATAAAACAGGCTGGGCTAGATTATTAAAGGTGGACTACATCTCTTTTTTCCAGAAGAAGATCTGTCTAAAGTTTTTGCCAAACGTGAAGTAAAACCAGTTAAAAATAAACCAGTGGCAGTTTCTCAGCTCAGCAGACAACTGGAGGAATCTCGTGGTAAACCAAATAATCCATTCCTGGAGTATTCCAAATTCGAAGGAGAGGTGAGAAGGGATGTAACCCTTAAAGTTGTCATAGTAACCTCTATTAGTGTCCACATTCTCTGTGTGTTTATTAAGAAACTATTCTCCTGAAACAGAAGTCAATTTTTTTTTCAGGCTTTCCAAGGAACTTGTACCAAAAAACTCAAGATATTTTTAACTATGCTACCAGAGGTATTCATGATCAATATAATTACGTAGATTGTATAACCTCAGTTATGACCTCAGAGATAAACATATAGGAGAGGACTTATTTAACAAGATTTTGATTAAAATTAAGTTAAACCTTAAACTTGTGAGATTATTGATTTTCCCCCAGCCACCACTCATCTTCTTGTAAGTTAGTTTCAGGAATTTGGTGTTAGATCATATGAAGATAAAAATTTCTACCTGATAAGTTTAAATATTCTCGTTACCTGTTTGCTGGTAATATAGGAATATTGAAGGGAAAAGTTACATGTTTATCACTTCTGGGAGTGAACAGAATCTGTTGTGCATATTAAATGTCTTGTGCAATGATTGATAGTTTGAACTGAGTCGAAATTCAAGAAATAAGTGATCATTATGAGAACTAACTTGATATTTTTTTTAATGCTTAATTCTGCAGGAAGAAAGAGCCATGCCAATGATTGTCACAGTGTTAGGTATAAAACAAATATGCACAAAAGATGATACATTGTCATAATTATTCTTTTAATGGCAGAGATGAAGATTATGTGATTGCACAGAGCTGATTTTTTTTTTTAACTTCTCAACTTGAACAGGAAGTGCCTGTGTACAGGACTTAATAGGACTTATCTTGTACAAGTATACAAACCAGGGATTACAGCCTCCACTCAAGGTACAAAATGTTAGCTGTGATGTGGCCCTATTCAAACAGTCATGATAATAGGCCATTTTACAGTTGTGTACTTTGTTGCCAAGCCTTTGATTTGGAGCAATGCTGAAGGTGACCATGTCGTGATATAGGCCAGTATCTAGTTAGCATGATAACAAAGTAATTTGCATTTGAAAAAGCAGCAAGGTTTGTATCATAACAAGGTCAACCTTAGCCTCACTCCTGTTCAAAGGCTTGGCAACCAAGCACACAACTTTAAAATGGAGTATTGGTGATGGTTTCAACTGTCATGCACTATCATCAACTAAATGTATCATGTAGTTTGGACATGTTCAAATTTGACATGATAGTTGATGATAGTTTTTGCTGTTTGAACGAGTGGGTGATAGTGAAAGATAGCTCTTCAGTTAGCAGTTTTGCTAAAAAACAGGTTCAAACTGGAATTGCAAATTATAAAATGACTTACTTAATAGCTAACAAAATTTTGCAGAATGTCTCTCAGGTCATTCTCATCATCTTCTGGAAGGCTTCAGTATCTTCAACTTGCAACTTCTTGACTAAAATTTCAAATACCACCAAATTTGCTGACCTCAGTGCACGCCATATTTGTTTATAATTACACACTTTCATTACATGATTTTGTCAACTATCATGAAGTGTTTGAAGGCAAACATGAGAGTCTATGATGAGGAATGAAAAATGAAAATATCATTGACTGTCATCAACTATCATGACCCTATGAAAGGGGCTTTATTGTAGAGGACGGTCACTTTTGGACATTATCCATTTTTACTGAGGAACATTAGTGATAGCAAAGTACAATTTACTGGTTTGTTGTCCAAAGGAAATGAAACATTTCTTTCTTATATCGCTTTTCAGAATGATGTCAAATCTTTTTGTTTGCATATGGCTGAGGACGATGGGGAAGTTGACACTGACTTTCCAGGTACACACATGCCACACATTTATTTTCCACTACTGAACCATTTCAGGACTTAGGATTAGGATTTAACAATAGGATGCACAATGTTGAACAGGGCCAAAATAAAGACAGAAAGTGGAATTTCAAAATGGCTGCACTGAATGATCCCAACTTTGGTTTTGTTTCATTTTTTTTAGGCTTGATTTTTAAATCAACCAACTTTTAAGCACAATGCTTCATTTTTGTTTCTTTGCTAACATGTCAAGTGTGTTAACCTTTATTGTTTGATAATTATTATTCGGTGTTTGTGTGTTTTTTTCTCCAATTTTTGTTGTATTGTAGCTCTGGAGAACAAGGAGCCCATCACGAAATTTTTTTTCAATTGTCTGGCTTTGGTTCAGGTAACCTAGGAAAAAAATGACATATTCAATACAAGTAGTGTATACTAGTCTAGTGTTTTGATAGCTTTTATCCAAGCTTGCCTTTCTTGATGTATATCACAAAGCATAGACTTTCCCCTTTGTTTCTGGTTTTGCCAATTAGATGCTTAAAAAAAGCCACATTATTTTTCCCAGCTAAGTATATACCTCGCTAAAACTCAAGAGGCTCAAGATTGTCTGCTTTGTTCCCTCCCATATATAATTATATATCCTTCCCCTTTTCCTCCATTCCCCACCCCTCCTAGGTTTTTCTGGCCCTCCCCTCTGCTCCCTCTTGATTCTCCTATCTCTTTTTCCCCTCAGGATTGTCATTCCCCCCCCCACCCTCCCATCTTCCCCCTCTATCCCCTTTGAATTCCCCATAATTGTATTTATATAATAAGCTCAGTTATGTGCGCATTCTGATTGGTTTTTACTTATGATCTATTGGAGGACAGATGTATAGATGACGTCATCATTAACACCTTTTTAAATTCTATATTATATAAAACAAATAGATTCCAAGTTGTCGTGCATCTGTTCAATAATAGACCACAGAGGACGTCAAAATGTGGTAAGAACATCAGTGACACACTCAGCTGCGCCTCGTGTGCCACTTTTTTGTTCTTACCACATTTTGACATCATCTGTGGTCTATTACTGAACAGACGCATGGCAACTTGGAATCTATTTGTTAAATAGACAATTTCATTTGTTAATTTTATTGGCCAGAGTAAATTGATTCAGCCCTTGAACTGTAATTTTTAAACCTCTATAATCTATCAATCAAGCTTTCTTTTTTCATCATTCCCCTTCTCCTTCTCCCCTCAGGATTGTCAGTTTCCCCCTTGCCTGTCACCTCCCCCCTCTATCCTCTTATTGTCCTTCCCCCTCCCTCCAAGATTGATAGGATTTGTTCCCTAGTCCTAGTCCTCCCCCCCCCCACCCATTCCCCCTTTTCAAGAACTAAATGGATTGATAGGATGGTAATCACTGTGTAATAACATGGATTAAAATATACTAAAACAGCAGATAGCTTTTAAGGCACACTCTGATTGGCTGCTTCATCTCAGAATATCCTTTGCCATTCACCTCTGAGCAACTTGTGTAGGATTTGCATCCAAAATTATTGCAATTTCTGCAGGAATAAATGACAAGTTAAAATCATCTTTACAATCTGTATTATCTCACTGTTTAAGTACTATATACTAAACTAACCACTTACCTCAGTGTTGGTGGCCAGTGGTGAATATTTACGGTGCCACTGCATAGGTCAGTAAATATCCACCACTAGTCACCTCCACTTTGGTGAACAGCAGTTAATTATCAGATTTTTTTGTCAAATGTGTTAAAAAACCATTGGGAAGTACCCTATACGAAGTCTAATAATGTTATACATTGTACTCTAACTCTTTGCTGATCATTACTGACAATTTCTAGAAAGATGCCAGTCCTGCTAAACCAACTCCTCCAAAACCTTCTGCAGGGATCATAGTAACAGTGTAAGCTCAAATGTTTTTTATTAATAATCTTTCACCCCCAGGAGTGATCAAAAACAATTTCTCTTTAAATATTCCAGAAATATTTCTAGTGCTTAAGGTTGTGTGAGTCAGTTTCATGCTAAAATTCTCACAGCAGTGCTAGAGATGACACAGTAGTGACAGTGTTCACCTTGTGCCTTAAATTGTGGCCCAGGTGTGATTCCCAGGCCTGACTTAACATGTGGGTTGAGTTTGCTGTTGATTTCATCCTTGCTCCAATGGTTTTTCTCAAGGTCCTTTGGATTTCCTCCTTTCACCAAAACCAACATTCCAAATTCCAACTCTACCTGAAAACAGTGGACAAGAAGAGCCACCTCGGGGAATGTTCACTGCTGATTAAAAGTGCCATTATTGTAACAGTTATCTTTTATTTCTCACTTCACTCTTACTACTAACTCATTTAAAAACTGAAACTAATTCTTTTTAAAGATTACATAATAAACTTCTGCATTAAGCAGTCACCTGTGTTAAGCAGTCAGTTTTCAAAGTCCTGAATGTGTTTCCGGTTAATCACTGTTATTTTCATCTATATTTAGTGGTCACCTCTATGTAGCAGTGGCAGTCACCCTTTACTAAGTCCCAAAGGCTTGCTTGTATTGTCTTCCACCTTTAGTGAACTATCACCAGACCTATAATGCCCCTAATCTGTGAAACCTGTCTTGAGCAGTCAACCTGTTTTTTAACCCCTTACACCCTAACATAACATTCTCCATACTGTTCTCTGTACATTTACTAAGGTGCTGATAAGGAGAATTTGTCTAACAATCACGAGTTTCTTTAGTTGGTGGTCATCTCCTTTATTCTCATGACATTAATGTGTGATATAGTGGTGATATTGTAAGGAGAAATGAGATGCGTATCACTCTTTGGGGTTAAAGGGTTAAGCCGTAAACCCACCATTTCCCATAAGTGACTGCTTAATACTTGGTCCGCTGCATTTGCCTTTCCAGTAATGAGCCCCAGCATGGCTTTTCAAGAGTGAAGGTGGACAGCATGAATGCAAAGATGAAACAAGTCTATGAAAAAATGGTCAAAAAAAGAGGATTGAGAAGAACAGGTTTGAAAATTTATTATATGCTCAATGTCTGCTCCTGAGGGAAACAGTTTCGTTTTTTCTCCACTCTCAATGTTTCCTCAAGATGAAGTCAGGGCAGGCAAAAATAGGACTTGATGGAAAACAAAACTTACTGTTTCCCTCTGGAGCAGACTTGAAGTGTTTTTTCATTCTTACAGCAAGCCAACATAACGTAGTAAACATTCAAGCAAAAAATGAGTGTTATTGTTAATGACAGTGCAACTTTGTTTCTTGTAAACACTGCAGATGTACTTTTGAAGAACTGTATTTTCAGAGGCCTTTTGCTCCATCACTTTTTTTAATCACTGGCTGCTTCCATTGTGTTTTAAGAACTAGTGGAGTCTAGCAACAAACTAATGTTGTCTGGATTTGCTGAGAAGTTCAGAGAAGAGAGTTTTAAAAATATTCCGCAAGAATCAGATCATCAACCTAAGCCACATTCTTCTCATGTCCAAAATCTGGACGTTGGTTGCTTCATTAAATGTAATATGCTCAGGATACAACTTTTGATATCCTGTCAAAATTGTATATTGAATGGTATACATCTTAAATTTATGTGGGGCCATGTGATTGCTAATCAGCCAATCCAAATTGTGTTTAGAACAAGGGAAATTGCAGAACCCAATGTTAAACTTTCAATAGTTTTTTTTCCTTTCTTCTGAAGCCAGTCAGTTGGTCAGAATCTTAAAGTCATGAATCTTATTGGCTAAATACCCAATAATCTTCAAGAAGATTCACTGCTCTTTTAGGCAGATTATTTACTAATGTATTGAGTAATTCTAATTCTTCATTATCTTTCCTCTTTTTTTTAACTCAGCAAAGGAATATGTCTTGGAAAAACAGACAGAGCCAGGAGTTCCCATAAGTCTTGATGCAACTCTAGAAAGCATGGGAACAATGGAATTCTGTCTGGTCAGATTTGGCCGTAAGTAGATTTTTATTAGCTGACTTTCGTTTAATTTATAAGTATTACAAGTTTACAGTAGCTTTTTTTAAAAATCCATGCTGGCATTACTGGTAGTTCTTGAAATCTGACTGTCTCACAACAGTGCAATCTGTAATGCAATTGTACTTCTCTTACCCAGAATTGCATCTTTAACCATTTACATTTTACTCTTTAACTCCTAAGATCTGAATGTTAATTTTCCTTTCCTGCTGCTATACATTTCCCCAAGTTGTAAATTAGTTGGAATAATTTGATGTTAGATTGAGATAGCAACTTCTACCTGATAAGTTTGGGTATTCTCATTACCTGTTTGCTGGTGAAGATATTAATATTTTAGGGAGAAGTTACATGCTAATCACTTCTGGGGTTCAAGGATTAAGTTTACTTAAAAACAAATTGCCAGATTGGTTTAAAAAGATAAATAAATGGCACTTACCCTAATCCTATTTTGACAATAAATTGACTGTGTAATTTTAAAACAAATGTGGTAAAGTCGCATTTAAACTTTGTGTAACACAACTTGGTCTAAAATTTAAAAAAATGGGATTATGTTGATTGAAGAAGCAATTCAGCTTTTTGGTTGATATTGCAGGAAAACGAAATCATGGGGAAGAAAAGGAAGAACCCAATAAACAGTTTCAGGTTTATACATATTATACATACAGGGTAAGTGTTATACAAAATTATTCACATTTGTTGGTTAACTTGAAGCTTCAATATCCCCACCACCCTGGAAACTTATGGACATTTGTCTGTTGTCCCTGGCAGGGGGAAATTTAAACCAGTAGAATACACAAGGAATTTAAACCATTGAAAATTATTTTGATTAGACATCCACAATGATACATGGAAAAAATTGTATAATTGGGTAAATTGACCTCCTTTAAAACTATATTTCTACCGAATATACCCAGAATCCATATTTTGCACAGATATTTTGATCACTTTTGTGACAGAAAAAAAATTATTATTTAAATCCTCAGTCATACAGAGTCAGTATGCTGCAGAAGCTGAGGACTGTGACAGAGATACAACTGGGTGAGTTATTCACAGATATTCAGTATGTTGCTTTTTTATCATTGATTTTCACCTAATAAATATTATTATTATTATACATTAGACTTACTATAAAAACTGAGATTGGTCAAGAGAATCCAATTAATATTCAATAAGCTGTGAAGTTGACCAGACAAATGCAATATCTGCAGCTGATTTTGCATTTATCATGTCAAGTTTAAAGTCTGCCTAGTTTCCAAGTCCCTCCTCCTTGCATTGAAGTGTTCACAAACTCAGTGTCTTCTTCAGCAAATTGTTTAAAAAATGTATTATTGATCAAATAATTATTGAATTCCCATCCCCCTCCCCTCCCTCCCCCCCTCCCCCTTTCCCCCCCCCCCATCCCCTCCCCCTCCCCTCCCCCCCCCATCCCCTCCCCATCCCCCCCATCCCCTCCCCCATCCCCCTCCCCCATCCCCCCCCCATCCCCCTCCCCTCCCCCCCCCCCATCCCCCCCCCCCATCCCTCCCCCCCCATCCCCTCCCCCCCCCCATCCCTGCAGTTAATGGGGAGTGCTCTTCCTACTGCACCATTCCTTTTCCTTGTTTTATTTTTTATTTTTCTTCCTTTGTATTGCATTTGATTCCTATATTCATCATTTTCTCTCTATTACCCTCTAGGAGTTTCTCTTGAGAAGATAGAGATTGATCCAGTACTACAACCAAAGTCAGCAAAGAAGTTTTGGGGGAAGCAAAAATTTGTAAGTATTATGATCACAGTACATGTAACGAACGCACTTGCAAATTTCAAAACGGTTACACAAATCATACAATTAATTCGTAACCAGTGGTTTCTGAAACACGATTAATTTAAATAAAATTACACTACAGCCAACTACGGACAACAATGATTATGATCACAAAGCAAAACATGAAATGGCAAAAGACAACACAAAACATACCTGACAGTTTGGATAGAAGGAGTACACCAGATGCAGTAAAGAAACAATCATAGCATGACAAACTGCATAACATTACTGTTCTTTTGGTGCAAAAATTTCAATATATGTACATGGATGCAAGGGGACTGAAGCCTAATTTGCAGATAAACTGCTGGCCCTTAAATTTGTTGTGAAAATGCATCTGTTCAAAGTGGGAAAGAATATTTTTAGGATAGCTGCAAAAAAAAAAAAAAAAAAAAAAAGAAGGGCTCCCACAGTATTTTGCCAGCATGTTACTCAATACAATATCAAACAGACGAGTGACAAGGATAAAGAAAAAAATATCAATGAGGGGATTATTAGTTGATCCAGGGCCAAATTCTCTGAATTAACATCATAAGAATTGTATGGCAGACAGTAAGGAGAATTACTATTGAAATCATGAGAGTGAAAGGGTTAACTGACTCAAGTTCTCTTTCCAGGTAACTCTCTCTCCTTTTACTCTTTCCTTTTAATACTAACTTGTAAAACTATCTTTTCTTATTTCTTAAGACTTCAATAGATATGGAAAATGTGGTTGCTTGTGACCCAGTCGAAGTGAAGAGTAATGGCAAATCGGTGTTCAGAATAGTTTACTTCAGTCAAAATGCACATGAGTTTAAACATTATGACTTTGAAACCGAGGCTGATGACGCTGGTGAGACATTTTCTGTCCTTTCTTTGCATAATTTTTCAGGAAAAATCTGTCACTGGTGTTTGAACCAAACACAAAATGCTCACTATATTATGGACCTAGAAATGGTCTATAGGGAGTAAGTTTGTAAAGAAACTGTGGTGCTGTGTTATTGAAGGGTATTACAAAATAATTTGGTGTCATCAAGTGGGCTAATATTGTGAACTGGCCATCATAGAGATACTCTCAAGCTAATGTTTCCACTGTTAGCCTTACATTATTTGCTCTGACATAGAGCTAACACTTGAAAACTTCTCTTAGAATCTTTCTATGTGGCCAATTCATGTTATCAACTCTGGTGATAAAACCAAATTTATCAAGAAATAGCCTTACCCTCCATAGACACTCTGTTGCTCAGTATAAGAGCATCGGAGTACAGAATATGAAGGTCCAAAGGTAGATTTCTCGTGGAGACTAAGTTTTGGTCTTCATACCACACTCATGAAAAGTAAGACAAAAAACTATTTTTCTCATGGTACTGTTGCTGTTTGTAGTTTGGTTAACTGAAAACTGTTTGGCATTATCCATCAAACACAGTAACAGTATGTAAATCTTTCTGGTGTTGGTGTATGTTCATGGGTTTTTTCCTGAGTTTCCTTGTCAAGAGTATTTGAGATATTTTATGCTTAATAGCAAGTTGATTACTATCCCTACCAGTTTTCTAATGGCTGAATGTAACCCTTTGCTCCCTAACATATATATTTTCCATACTGTTCTCTATACATTTCCTTAAGTGCTGACAAGAAGAATTTGTTGAACAATCAAGAGCTTGTTTAGTGTTGGTGATCATTTCCTTCATTCTTTTGACCTTAAGGTTTGATTCAGGGATGACATTGTAAGGAGAAATTATACGCTTGTCACTCTCAGGCATCAAAGGGTGAAATGAGTGGAGAACAATTTTTCCTCAATGTAAGAGTAACTTTTTTTTTTTTTCCGCAGGGGAAATTGTGGAACAGGTCAATCACATTATCAAGTCCAACATGAGTGGAAAAAGATCAGAATACTTGTCATCAAAAGAGAGAAAATCTGATAAAAGAAGATCCTTAAGATGAGAGCAATTTTAACGTGAACTACTAAAATTTACTCATACTATTAAATGATTGATAAAAAAAACCATATTTCCTTGAATAAACACCCATGCTCTAATAAGCGCCTACCCCCCAAGCAATAATGTCAAACAAGCACCCCCCCCCTTTACTTTCCTAAAGAGTAGGGATACAAGAAAAACCTGTTTCTTTTGCCACTTCATATCATTTTTAACCTGCAGCAGATACAATACAGGAAAATAACAAGTGCCCTCTCTCCAATAAATGCCCCTCCTTTTAGCCAAAATCTTTAATAGGCCAGAAGCGCTTTTTCAAGGAAAGATGTTATTTAGTTAAATAATTCTCCTTGAATTAAATAAACAAAAATATACATTAGTAGTTAATAGTGATTTCCACCAGGAATGTGTAAGACAGTTGTTTTATTATGGGCAGATAAAGGGAGAGTGTACATCAGTGTGTAATTTCTCCATACAGTTTGCTATATATTTCCAAAGGTGCTGACAAGGAGAATTTGTTTCACAATCAAGAGCTTCTTTAGTTGTTGATCATTTCCTTTATTCTCCTGACCTTAATGCTTGATTCAGGGGTGATATTGTAAGGAGAAATTAGATGCTAGTCACTCTTAGTGTCAAAGGGTTAACCAGAGTCTTGGTTTTGTTTCCTTGTGCATTAACTTCATCATGTCCATGCTTTTCCACCAAGTTATCTGTGTCATTCCCCTGTGTACTGCGGTGTTCTTTTCTCTTTGAACGCTTTCAGACCTTCAAGTCTGTCTTTGGTTGGTATAACCTGATGGATGAAGAGTTACAAGTTTCAATTATAACAACATAGTTGTACATTCAATTAAATACCAAAACATTTTAATATTTCCCGCACTCTCAACATGTATCTATATGGTCCTGTTTGTAGTTAAAGTGCACAACTAGTAGGGTCTATAGAAAATATTGGTTTAAATTCTGTCAAAACCTGAATTTTTTTTAAAGTCTTCTCTGCAATTTCTTTAAGGGATCCCTTTACCTTTAGGGATCAGTTCTTTTTTCCTAGCATTCACAAATTGATCATGTAGTCTGATCATAGGTTCAGTTTGCCTTGACAAAGACTATAAGTTGTCTCACAGTCACTAACATTTCCACAACTTAAGTAGAAGTCATTAATCAGACTCAAGTGAGGAGAGATTTGTCAGTAAAGGTTTAAGTTACAACTCTGTTTTGAACAGCTGTTAGTCACTCAAGTGCTTGAGTCTCCTTACTTAACCCTTAATCTCTCATGAGTGACCAAAACAGAATTTCTCTTTAAAATATCAATACAATGTCAAGTAGACAAGTGATGAGAATAAAGAAAAATATCAATTGGGGGATCATTAATTGATCCAATAACAAAATCTCTGAACTAACATCATAAGAGTTATATGTCAGACAGTAAGGAGAATTACTAATGAGATCTTGGGAGTGAAAGGGTTAATTGCCAAAAGTACTCCTTGGTTCAACTTGTTTACTGTATAATATTCATCAATTTTAAGACATACACATGTAAATATTTGCACACATACCTGAGCATAACAACCTTCTTCAAATGACATGGAAGATGTGAGGTCAACCTGGGAACAAAACCATAATTATAACTGTAACATTTACAACTTCGTCAACTATGTGAGTGCACTTAATACTTTAACTTCCAGAAGTGATCAACATGAAACTTCTCCCCATAATATCCTTATATCAGCCAGCAAACAGGTAATGAGAATATTCAAACTTACCATTTAGAAGTTGTTACCTTGATCTCACACCAAATTCTCATAACTAATTTACAAGGACATGTGTAGCAGGTAGAGGGGAGAATTATTACATCGGTATGCATATTCTCCATGTTGTTCTCAATACATTTCCTAAGGTGCTGACAAGGAGAATTTGTGTAACAATCAAGAGCTTCTTTAGTTGGAGATCATTTCTTTTATTCTCATGACCTTAAAGTGTATTCTCCTCACCTGAATGTTTGACTTTTAATATTGTAAGGAGAAATTAGATGTTAGTCACTCTTAGGGTTTAAAAAATACAAAGGACTTACTTGCATTCCCTTGTTAATTGCTAGTTTGGCCATTCTCACAGCAACAGGTCCTCGGGGAAGAATTTCTTCAGCTAGAACAAGGGCTCTTTGATATGCTGCATCACCAGTTTCAGTTTGTTCTGCAACATAATCGGCTAAACCTATTTCTTCAGCTTCTGTGCCACTGATCATTTTGCCTGTAAAAATCATCTCCTTGGCTTTTGAGACACCTATTAACCTTGGTAGACGTTGAGTCCCTCCTAAACAAAAGTAGTGGAAACCCACAGGCTGTCAGACCATTGTGCATTTGACTCGGTGAATTGTGGTCAAAGCCTGTTGCTTTGCAACCATCATGCTTGCAACATAATTATACAGCTGCCTACTTAGTTCAGATCATATGTGACCCTCCACGGGAAAACGGACACTAACGCTTTTCCGTTTAAGCTGCAAAACCGTTTACTATCCGTTTATATCCGTTTAAACGGTACATGAAAGCGTTTAAACGGTTTGCTTATCCGTTTAAAAAAATTTGCATCCGTTTAACGCTTTAGCTAAAACGTTTAAGCGGTTTGCTCATCCGTTTAAAAAAATTTGCATCCGTTTAACGCTTTTGCCAAAACGTTTAAGCGGTTTGTTCATCCGTTTAAAAAAATTTGCATCCGTTTAAAAAAATTTGCATCCGTTCAACGCTCTAGCAAAAACATTTAAACGGTTTGCTTACCCGTTTTAAAAAAAAAAGCTATCCGTTTAAAGTTCCACGGAAAGCTTTGGACTGTTTGCCTATCAATCTTACGTTCGCTCGATACTCGCCGGTTCTTGAAATACAGAAAGACCGTATCTTATTTTGGTTTTATCTTTTGCGTGATCATAGTAAGCAAGTTTCCGTCGCATCCTTTGACAAACAAGTTAAGTTGAAATATCCGGGTTGGTATATTTCGCAGACCCCCAGTCGATGGACTGCTAAATCGGCTACTCTCTTTCTGTTTATATCATCTCGATTCATCTTTCTTGGTTTTATTGACAATCATTTTAACGGCCCCGCTTGGTGCGTGACACCGATTCGACCTTTTATTTGCAATGGAACTTCATTGCGTTATTTGACCTTGAAACGTCTCGGCTTCAGACAACGTGGCGGCATTGCATATGCAACTTTGTTTCCCGAAACTTCCGAACAGGAAAAAAGTGAAGTTCATTTTCAATAATAATAAGAATAAACAAAGGAGAAGATTATGAGTTTCTCGCGGTAGCCGTTCAAGATATTCGGCAGCGAAACTATTCTCAGTAAATTGCGCTTATTTCATGAATGTCACACGAAAGCGGCAGTAATTAACCCAGAAATAAAATGCGCAAGTATATGCTAGTTATTACTTTTCAAATTATCATGCTCAATATTTTCGCTTTAAAGGATAATTATCCGTTGTCACTCTGAAAGTTTTTCCGCAGAAGATCTCGCCGGCTCAACCACAGCCGTTAAACATTAATTTTTAGCTCATCGTTTGTCGGTTTCAAGTTCAACCGTTTCTCGGTTTAAGCTATCCGTTTTTGGACTTTGGTCAACTGTTTAACGTTTCGGGCTGACCGTTTTTATTTTTGGTCAACCGTTTAACAGTGTGAGCCATCCGTTTTTGAACTTTGGTCAACCGTTTAACGTTTCGTGCTATCCGTTTTTATTTTTGGTCAACCGTTTGAAGGCCTAAGCTTTTCGTTTTTGGACTTTGGTCAACCGTTTAAATTTTTTGCCATCCGTTTAAGCGGTTATGGCATCCGTTTAAACGCTCGAGTTAGCCGTTTACTATCCGTTTACAACCGTTTTTCGAGACCGTTTAACGGAAAAGCGTTAGTGTCCGTTTTCCCATGGAGGGTCACATATATACACTTTCTAATAATATACAATCCATGAATAAATTATGCACATCTGATTGGCTGAAAACCAGTGCATTTTCCATGAAACACAAGTGCAATTACAAATAGCATGTGCACGCTGCCAAAATTTTGTCCATCTTGAATTTCTGTGATGTGTTTTTCATGTAAATTATTAACAAGTAACAACATGATTTCTAGTGCAATTTGGTGTAAATAGCACTTGTGAATATTTTAAAGACTACAAATTGCACTTGCATGCAATTCTCTTGTCTTTTAAAAACTTTCCTCGTGCTCATGAACACCAAACTACACTCGAAATCGTATTGTTACCTAAAATTATGACAACCTTGAGAAAGCTCTGAGATGTCACTCATTTCAGACATCCGGGCCAAAATTCTAATAGCTGACTAGACATAAGACATCAAGATTAAGACATCCTGAGTTCTTTGTTGACAGAACCCCTTCTGAATATAACCTTATGTTACTTCCTGTTGTAGTGAAGAGTAGCCTACCAAATGCTATAAGGAGGGGTGGGGAGGGTAAGGTAGCTCGTGATAGCATATGGGGTGGTGGGTTAGAAAGTTTGTGATGACCTACGATCAGCATCAAAGACTATTTGACAAATCATATTTGAAGAATCCTTATAGTTATGTGTAGAATAACACCCCTGTCTTTACCACTGATACCTTTAGATCATTGACAAGACCCCCCTTCCACAGTCAATGTTGCCTGTATGTATCTTCAGGTTAATAGAATCACAATAACAAATGAAACATTTCTTTTTCGGAGGGAAGGGGCAAATAGGTTAACTGAACAAAGGCAAAAGAGATAAAATGGAAGTAATAGGGGCATGGAAAGGTCAATGTGTCATCAATTTTTTCACGGAGTGTAGCATTACATCCAGAGATGGTGGAATTCCTAGCTTCCAAGGATAAGAGGCAATAAACCATACAAAGCTAAGCTCTTGAAAAGTTTACCTGCACCAGGAATAATTGCTAAACGTGTTTCTGTCAGCCCCACTTTAGCGTTACTTGCAGCAATCCTAAAGTCACACGACAGGGCCATTTCAAGCCCACCACCTAGGGCATGGCCATCAAGAGCAGCAATTGTAGGCATTGGTAGGTTGTGTAGTTCCATTATTGCAGCCCGAGCCATAGATACAAATGGTCCAACCTCATGTGCTGCCATTTTAGCTCTCTCTTTGAGATCAGCTCCTGCACAGAAAATACCTAGGAGTGATGAAAGAAAAAAAACCTTGAGTGTTGCCCTAGCTATGAATGGAAAAAAAAGGTCAGAAATCAAAAACAAGCATGAAATTTTTTTGGCCTAAAATTAGTTTATGAAGCACTGGTATAGGGGATCACCATATTGTGTCCTCATTCAACACTGTCTTTCTCCAATCACAGGGATTAATAGTGCTCCTTGCAAATTGCCAAGAAAACTTGACAAACTGCTGGAGGTTGCTAGAGATAATCAGGCATCCCTTTTTGGAAGAGGCAGCAAATTTACCCATATGAAAATAACTATGAGCTCTCCTCAGCCTACCTACAGCTGCTCCATATCCACAAAAAAATCAGGAAGGAACTCCTCATTTTTTTAAGGGGAGGAGACTACTGTTCACAGCCAGGCTACTTCTTCCCAACTTGGAGGGCCACCTAGCCTTGAAAACTGCATTTCTTTTACACCTTCACTGATACTTTACCTGATATATCACAACTGAATTTATACCTTGCGCATCACTCTTGATGATGACAGTTCTAACATTCTTGTCAAACTTCACACAAGTAAGGGCATCTGTAAACTAAATAACAAGAAGCTGACTTGTTGAATGCTTCTATTTAAAAAAAGATCATAAGATCGAGTGAACAGTTATGACTAAGATGCTAGGTGCATCTATCTTTGTTGACTCACACCATAATTTCATTTCAAATATGTGCATATTTTTGAGAAAGTTGTAATATATTAATTGAAAGCAATGGGAGATTTTTCTGTGCTCAATGAAGAATTTGCCAAAGGCGTATAAACCTGAGACCCTGTAAAGGGCTGGTGTATAACTATCTTCAATTCACCTGTACCCTCTCTGTTACTGTTAAGATGAAGCTATCTTAAGCAGGGAAAGGCTTTAATTGCTTCAACATTATTCTAAAAGAAAGAAATAGCTGGAGGTGATAGGCACAACAGAATGATTCCTACAAGTGGTGATCCCAAAGCAGCCATTAGGACTGCCATAGGAAAGAAGTATAAAATATAATGTGTAAGCAATTTCAATTCCTTTTCTTCTTGACCCTTTAAACCCTAAGAGTGACCAGCATCTAATTTCTCCTTACATTAATACTGTTAAATCACACATTACCATCATGAGAATAAAAGGAAATTATCACCAACCTAAGAAGCTCTATTGATTGTTAGAGAAATTCTCCTTGTCAGTACCAAAGGAAATGTACAGAGGGGTGCATGGAGAATATAGATACTGATGTTTAGGATGTAAAGAGCTGAGCTGCTGAAAGTCGATGACCCCTTAAAATTGGTAAAAAGGGGTGGAATGACCCCTACTTTAACTGATATGTACAACAAACTTGATGGGACTCTCACCAGTCTTAGGAAATTCTTGCTCATGGCATTTTTTGCTTCTGGTCTGTTCATTACAAACAAGGCAATCCCTGCAAGAAAACAATTTATCATCACACTGAAAGTATTTCATTGTAACTCATCATAAAACCAGGCAAGATTACCACACAGACCCATTCATGCTGGTCTTAGATAAAGAGAACAATACATTACCTTTGGGACAACAGCTTCGTTTTAGAATATTCAACAATTATTTAAAGAGGTGGAGGTAAATTAGGTCAATCCACCATTCACAAACACTAAGGTGAATACTATTTTTCAGTATATGTCGCGCAGAAACCAAAAAAAATTGTTTTTTCCCTTGAATATACCCAAAATGATGGGAAATTAAATTGCTGATGCGCGATTTAGTCTCTTCGGCTGCTAAGAGAATAATAATTAATACTCCCTAATCACTTACGGATCTGGCCAATCAGCGCATGCGAAAAAGCACTTTTCACTTGTGTGGTATATACTAATATGCGATCTATTGCTTTTATAAATTAAACTTCAATTTTTCATGGATTTACCGGTGCAATATATTATAGATTCTTGACCAATCAGGGGGCTCGTAGTATCTCGTAGTTATTTTATAACGAAAAATCTTTCCGCCTTTACCTTCGTGTTTACCATCTAAATACCGAAGGCTGAATTCTTCTGCCGCTGATGTCGCCCTTTCTGTACTGTACTTGGAACTGTTTGGCACATATAACTTTCTGCAGGCAGCGATCTTTGTCTGATCGTGGATTACAGAAAAAAATCCAGCATTTTTACTTCTTGAAAATATTTTCCATATCGCCGCCATTTTGATTTTCATGCTGATATCCTCGTCATGTAATTGCCATCTTGTACCCGCCCCCTACCCGCCTTTTCCAATCCTTGGGACTGAGCGCGGCCATCGATTATTGTAAAATGTTACCTTAGCAACGGTAAGACTTGACCGGGACACCTTTACGGGTTGTCTTAAGTGTGTTCTATGCTTTCAGTCTCCGCAATAATCAAATTTACTTTAATTTATAAGACGCTCAGCGTTGGATAAAAATTACTTGACAAACCGGACTAATCCAGATTATTTGATCAGTTATTAAGGTGGCTCTGATTCTCATCTTAAAGTTGTAAGAGTTTTTCAGCATACTACCAGTTTCTTCGCCATTTTCAAACGCAGAGAGCAAAGTTAACTGACGAAAAATTGGTGTGATCTATTTCATCATCCCCAGACTCTATTTGGTACGCCTAACTCGACCACAGCTGTCAATTTTCTGGCAAGAAATCAGGAACATAACATTGCGTGACTCATGAGCGTTGTAAGGGAGAAGGGGTGTCATACTTCAACCACGCCCATGCGTGACAACCTCTTCATAAAATCACTCCATACGATGAAGGTCGCGGCCTTAATTTTTGGTTTTCATGTACTTTTCTTTTAGCGTGTCGGATAGACAGCCATTCATCGATAGATAGATATCTGTTTTTACAGGGCTAGAAAATAAACAACAATGTTTGTTCGATGACGATTTGGGAATTTGCTTTTAAGACTTGCACACGTAATTCTAAGCGGGTGGAATTTATTGCCGCTTACTTTTTCTATGGAAAACGCGAACACATAAAAATAAAACTCTTTTAGATTGCAATATGAATGAGGTTTTGAAAAAACCTGTGGATTTTAATTTCTTTTCAAATGTGTTCCCTTACAGAACAGCAAACCAAGCGGGGTTTCAGAAACAATGACATTTAGATAATGAAGCTTCTCAGTTTGATTGCTCGACAAGACGTATTAACATAACACAGAGAGATTTTGAGGAAATGGAGTTTAGTACAAGAGGTTGAAGAAGTTGTTTTCAAGATTTATTTACGTGAAATATTGCTTTATTTCGGCGCTGAGCGCTTCATACCATTTAAATGACTATTCTCTTAACTAGGTTTGTGAATTTGTAAACAGACAATTGTTGCAAGTTTTATTTTGTTTACGTTGTTTGTATGGAACAACTAATTACCTTTAAGTGATAAACAACCAATTGGAAGATCGGCTATTACGCACAACAGCCAGCTGTTATCTCGAATTTCTAACAAAATCATTGAAAGATCAAAATGTTAACAAACATTACGTGACATAGAAGTTTTTGCACTTGCTCGACTTGTCTGTGTGTGGCAACTGCTTTAAAATCTAGTTTACTATGGAAGACTTGGAAATCCGCCTCGCTTCTGTAGCTGACTACGATGCCGTAGTGGAGCTCTCCCGTGCAACTTACGAGGATAAAGCAGACGAAGATCACGACTATATTCCCAACAGATTTCACGGTTGGCTTTCGGAACGCAAACGAGCTGTCTTCGTCGCAGAAATGGATGAAAAAATCGTTGGACTACGGAGTTATGTGGTTGTCAATGGTGACCAAAGCTCTGCATGCGATGTAGAAAAAATTCACCCTAAATTCCGAAAACAAGGGCTTCAAATTAAAATGATCGAGGCGAACCGAGAGTATATCCGTAAAAACTACCCGAATGTGACCCGAGAGCTCTTCTACGCGCCGAAGAAGTTCTACACCCAGCGACAAGAGCTGTTCGCTGATCAAGTTCTTTTCAAGCAAGACATAATTGCCTATCATATCGACCTGGAAAATCTCGATGTGGAGAGGCTCAACGAAGTTGCTACCCGCCTTGCACTAGAGGTCAGACCTTGTACAAGGGAAGAATTTGTAGAAGAGATCTTATCGATTGCGTTTAAGATTTTTCCGAGCGAGGTCTTCACCCTCGACGGAATGGCGTTAGAGGCTTCGCGAGCCAACACAGGTGCAATGGTCAGAGACGGAGATAGATTTTTGGTCGATCGCAATGAGGATGATTCTGAGCCTTTCAAGTCCTACAGTCATGGGAGGATTTCACCGAGAAATAAGTCGCTCCATTGGGAATGCTGTGTCTACACCAGGAGTCACTTCCTGTTTCAAGTGCATCTATTGGGGCAAGTCAGATGCGCGAGCGAGGTTCTGGCCGACCACAAAAACACCGTGATAGTGATTCATTTCCTATCCGATAGCCGACTGGTTTCTTACGGCAGGAAACTCCTAGAGGGTCTCTTAGGCTTCAAGCCCTGTGATCGACTCAACATGAAACAGGAGTACGTGCACAAGGAATCACTGGGATAAAGCGCATGTCCACCTTGTCAAATTCCAGTCCACATGAGATCTAAGACGTTTGTTTTGAAAATTAATTTTCCTATGAAATTGAAAAGACACGTTATTTTGCTAGATTTACGATTATAGCCAGGTAATCCGAACATCCAGCTTGTTTAAGTCCTGTCCACCTTAGGATGATGACTTCTGTTTTAAAAATAATACATTGTTTCGTTTCCCTAGACTAACAATTGCCACCTTTAGAGTTTTAGCATCGCCATATCGGCGGTTGATCAGTTTTAATATTACGTCCACGAAGAATCACTGGAGTAATCTGAATGTCCTGCTTGTCAAAGTCCAGTCCACTAAGAAGTTGTGACATTTGAGCTTAAAAATAATTTTTCTTCAAAATGGAAATAAGTCATTGTTTTGCTCCCCTTGATCGATGATTACCGCCTTTGCGTTCCAGTATTGCCTTTGAGAACAGGGAGTTACGTTTCAAAGCACCGTCGAGGTGATTTTTATGCGACAGAAGGAATAAAATTTAACAATTTAATGCAATTTCAATTCACGAAACAGTTCATTTTAGAGAGCTGGATAAAATAATGTAATGCAAGGGTCTCAAAAGAGTCAAGAAACCAACTGGATAATTCCATCTTTCTTTTTGGAAAAAATATGTAATTAATTTGCAGCAAGTAGGAATGAAGATTAATTAATAAAAAAAATTAAATTTTCTCTTAGTTTACCCTTTAACTCAAACGAATGACCAAGACGGAATTTCTCCTTACAACGTCGATGCAATATAAAGCAGACAAATGATGAGAATAAAGAACAACACCAATGAGGGAATTATTGGTCAATCCAAAACCGAATTCTCTAAAGTAACATCATAAGAATTGTATACCAAAAAGTAAGGGGAATTATTTATTAGATCTTAGGGATGGAATGGTTAATATACGCGTGGCTTACCTTAGCACAAAGGAACACGTACATACAGTGAACTGTGTTCAATGTTCCCTGAAGCGAAACCAAGAGCAATAATGGAGGTCGTGGGAAACTAAACCTTAATGTTTCCCGTGTGGCCATTATCAGCTATAAGAAAAAGAAAACGGTTGCATACAAATTTGCCGCAATTGAAAGGTATACGATCTGATCACGTGTGAGCTGGAGCCCCTAATGGGCTCCTGGTGTGAGTCGAACACTCGAGTTGTTGTTCCTACGAGAGTTAGAAGGGACTGGTCATTATTATCACGTGGGGTGAGGGGTGGCAGTGTTTTTGGTTGTGTCACCATAAAATTTTCCTGATCCCCCCAAAAGACTCTGAAGGATTTTTATAATTTCCCTTATTGGCGTTAAATTTGCTATAGTCCCCTTTTATCCTCTATTGGCGACGACTGATCTCCTCTAATCTCATACCCAGGTCCTATCGTGTAACTGTAACTGTAACTTAGCCGTGAAAGACTACTCCCCTCCACTCTCCCAAAACTCCTCCACTAGCCCCTCCTCATGCGATAAATAATGACCGGTCCCATGGGGAGTTCGTGAGAGTTGGAAGCATGGCACGTGACAAAAGCCCCTCCAGTCGGAAAACGTGTTGTAGAATGACGAACCCACGCGCGCCAATCATGCGAGACGAGGAGTACTGGGAAATACTGGATCTGTAGCTTATGATATTTCATTCTGAGGGAATCGCCTTACGTGCATGTGAAGTGTGATCTTGTGGAAGGAAGCTATAGATTATGGAGCACTCTGCAGAAACGGTTGGCCACGATCCTTGCTCGTTTTCCAGACCAAACCAATGTCTGTGCACAAACATCACCTGGTTCGTCGATGTCTTGATTGATAAAAAGATCCTCGAATGTCGCGTTCAGCTCGAATTCGAAGTGAAAAAGGATGGAGTCAAAAAAATGGTGAGTTTCGATTTTTTATTTTCATTCGCGTGAGCATTATAAAATGAAGTTAAGGAGGCACGAGATTAAGTTAAATGCAGATGAACTCGAGAACCTTTCAATATTTTTGGTAAACTATGAATTCTTAACTGATCGGCTCCAAAGCTTTATAGCGAGGTTACCAAAACATGCACCAGATTAAGGCATACATTGCAAACATTAATTTTTTAGACGGAAGTAATTAGTTTGGAAAACTCCTCGCGCAAATTATGTGATCATGTCTGGGTTCTCCATCTTTAGATTGGCAAAACAGACTGCAATGCAGAATGTTGCTTCTAGGTGCAAAGTGTTTGCAGTTCTCAACACTTGGATTCTGAATCCCTGAGGCGATCTATTTATCAAATGGTTTTTAATCAGTAGGGCGTTTCCGTTGAGGCCAGCCTCACCCAGTTCGCTTTGCCATCTTGTCTAGACATTTTTAATTATTTCGTTTCCCGCTTTATCTTAAAATGCAATTGTCTGCATATCCAGCGATGCTGGTTTCTTCATGACGCAGCAGTCATGACGCAGTAGTCGTGTAAAAAGACGTTAAACTGCTAAAATTAACTGTCTGCCAATATTCAGGTCTTGAGTGGCCAGAGTGATTCAAATTTGATATTAGTTACTGGAGGAGTCAGCATACAAACTAAAAGTTTACACAGTCTGTAGTTTTGTGATATGTGCATTAATTAATCACTCAGCCAATTGCATCTTAAGGCTTGTAGAGTTACTATTCTTACAAACTAGTAAGAGCTTACAAAGTTACAAGCATGTACATTGAAGCAAAATGCTATTGCCTGACTAAGATAAGCTGATTACAAAGAACTGTCATTCAAAGATTGCTTGCAGTTAATTTATTTATATTGAAGAAAACATTAAAATTACTTATCCTTGCTCCTCTGCTTTGTCCATATCAACTGTGCTCATGAATATCATTTTATGCACACTATTGTTACCCCATAGGTGCCAACTCCACTGAGAAGTCCTGTGCCAACACAAATGAATATATTATTTTTCAAAAATTTAACTTGTTTTGAGATTATAGGCTAGTTTATTATACATCACCAGTACCAATGATTTGACTGTTACTCTCTATCTTTTAACATACTGAGTTTGTCATGTAGGCGCACATTATGCCATTTGCGTGGCATACTCAATGCATCACACAGCTAGTAAAGGGATAAATTCTTCATTTGCACTACTGTCCAACTACCTCAAACCCTTTCAGTGTACTAATGTTGTCAGGAGAAATTGCTCATTAGTGACTAACAGGAATAAAAGGATAAACCCTTTCACTCCTGTGATCTCATCGGTAATTCTCCTTGCTGTCAGCTATATGGTTCCTATGACGTTATTCTGGAGAATTTGGTATATGATTAATTAATATTCTGGTGATTAATTTTTTTTTTACATTCTCATCACTTGTCTGCTTGACATTGTATTGATAAAGTAAGGAGAAATTCTGTCCTGGTCACACAAAGAGTTAAAGCAACAAAGGCTATGAAATAATCACAGTGTACTGAGATTTACAGTGTTGTTAGTCCAGAACTGAGTGCCATGAGTCTGGGGAAATTTCTTGATGAATAATAATGAAATATTAAATATTAATGAAATTCTTTTATTAAGGCTCTTGATACCCGAGACTTGACAATTCACAGTGTTACAGATGGTAATGGAGAGAACCTGAGTTTCAGCTATGGCAAGAAGCATAAGGCATTTGGAACACCACTGAACATTGACCTTCCTGATGGTTTAAAAAGGTAATATATCTCAGATAAGAATAATTTTGATTTTTTAGTTTTTACTCAAGTCGAGTGTCCCCCCCGCCCTGGCCAGAGATTTTCTCAGTTTCCTGTTCAAGAGACTAAGTGTATTACCTCTCCCTCCCTTGGATGGGATGTCAGTCCGTCGGAAGGTTACCCCCCAGCATTTCTTGAGGCTTCCCTGACAATTTGCTGTTACTCATTTATACTCATGGGTGAAGAGAGGCACTGTGGGTCAGAGTAAAGTGTGTTGTCCAAGAACACAACGGAATGACCAGTGACCCAGGCAGGTCTTATACCCAGAGTCCAGTGCACTAAACATCACACCACCATGTCCCCCAAAATTGTTATTGGCTTAATATTTATTCCTAAAACCTTTGGTATAAATTATCAAAAAGTTTCAAGTTTTTTGTTCATTTTAATAGTGGTTCCAAGCTATACCTTACGATTAATTACCAGACCTCTGAGACTGCATCAGCTTCTCAGTTCCTTACCCCTGAACAGACTGCTGGGAAGAAGTATCCTTATTTTTTCACCCAGTGCCAGGTAAGTTAAAAATTAATCTACCCGATCAAAACAGTCAATTATTTACACTTATCAAGCTAGTTCCTGGGGGAAAAAATGAAACCATTTAAACCTCTTTTATTAACCCTTATCACACTAACATTAGTATATATATTCTCCATACATTTAATATAAATTTCCCTATGGTGTTGACAAAGAGAATTTGTGTAACAGTATAAAGAGCTTCTTTTGTTGGAGATCATTTCCTTTATTCTCATTCCCTTAACCCTTTCACTCCCAAGATCTGATTAGTAATTCTCCTTACTATCTGCCATACAATTCTTATGATGTTAGTTCAGAGAATTTGGTATTGGATCAACTAATAATCCCATGATTGATATTCTTCTCTATTCTCATCACCTGCCTGCTTGATATTATATTGATATTGTAAGGAGAAATTCTGTCTTGGTCACTTGTGGCAGTGAAAGGGTTAATGCGCAATTTAAGGTGATGTTATAGGGAGAAATTACATAATAATCACCTCTAGTGGTGAAAGGGTTAAGAATGGGGGACACATTTGTCAAGTTATGAACTAAAAAAAGTTGAGTTTGAAGTTCTGAACCACATTACCATTTAGATTGACAAGTATTTTTATTTGTTGTCTTTAGGCTATCCATGCTCGCAGTCTTATTCCATGCCAAGACACACCTTGTGTAAAAACACCTTACCAAGCAGAGGTATCATTAAATACTTATTTAATAACTTATTATATAATAATCTGAATTGATTGCATATACATTTTAATTTGTTAGATTTTTCCTAATTTTGGTTTCCCTGTTCTACGTAGAAGTTAGTGTCACGAGACCTGTTTTCCATATTTGGTATTGTACACGAGGTTTTCTGTTCAGATTAAAAATAGTTCTTCCGCCATCTTGATCTAGTTACTGTGTTCCTGGCCTTTATTCGGAATACACTACATAATTGTTTCTTACTTATGATCTGTTGGAGATCATGCAACATGTAGAACATCATGCAGGCTTAGTCAATGCAGTTTGATGAAGGCCTTGTAAAGAAATATGTTCCTCAACTAGGTAACTGTACCCAAAGAGCTTGTTGCTGTCATGAGTGCTAAGGGAACAGGAAGTCGTGATGATCCCCAAAATCCTGAAAAAAAAATATACACTTTCACTCAGAAGGTAAAAGTTTTTATTTCTACTTTTTATCAATTAAGAATGATTCTTATGTTGCATATTGTGACTTCCATAAATAGTAGTGAACATATTCTTCACAATGTTCTCTTTACCTTTCTTATGGTGCCAACAGGGAGAATTTGTTTGATAATCAGAAGTTTCTTAAATTGGTGATCATTTCTCTATTAATGTGACCTTAATATTTGAGTCAATGGTGATACTGTGGGAAGAATTTGGAAGCCAATCACTCTAAGGAGTTAAAGGGCTAAATAATCTCTGAGAGGGGTACAAAACATAATTATTTATGTCCAAGAAGAGAAACATTATTACTATTTTATCTCTTTGAAGGGCATTGAGGGAATAAGAACTAAAAAAATTATAACAAAAAAGTCTGAACAATCACACAAGCATGCTAGCCTTGTAGCAGACATTGTAAAGCTTGTCACATCACACAATCATCAAGTGATAATTGAGGAATGATTGCCTGGTGTGACGAGCCTAACAAGGTCAGTGTAGGAGGCTCAGACAAGCTTTCAATTTAAAATACATTTAAGCCCACCAAACTTTCTATTTAAGCCTGCAAAGTGGGCCACAATGCCCAACAGAGTTATAGTAACAACCACTTACTTTCATCCTTAGGTGACTATTCCGAGTTACCTGATCACTATCGCAGTTGGAGCCTTAGTTAGCCAGTAAGTCACATAAGAAAAAACTTGTCAACAACAAAAAAAACAACAACTTACAATCTTTTATTATCATCATTTTTTAAAATTGTAATAGTCTTTGATTGACAAGTAGCTGAGAGTGGCTTCTTGTTATCTGCGATAATAGGGAAATCTGATTTCATTTCACCAAAGTCTACAGGAATTAATTTTCCTGGCTAGATTTCCAAGTGTGTTGATTAAATTATTTACCCTAGATCTTAGTTAGCAAGTAAGTCAGATAAGAAGAAAAATTGTAAAAAACAGCTAAAACAATATCAATCTTGTTGTTAATCACTTCTGGAAGTTAAAGGGTTACATGTAACAGTATATATTGTTATTTTAACTTTGAATTACTTTTCTGGTAGCTCTTTCAGAAAGCATGGAATCTCATTCCATAGTTTAGCACCATGCAATTCTCAAAAAGGTTTTTTCTATTTTAAGTTTTGAGGGTTTTACTTAAAATGATCAAAGATAGAAGAACATGTGTTACACAAGAATTATCCCTCCTCTCACGCTGAAGCCATCTGAAAAGATTGGCGCTGCAGTTTCTAAACTTATGAGTGACGGTTTTTTACTTGGACTTGAATAACTTAATAACATTCAGCCAATTTTTAGGGAGGTGGGACCCCGCTCTAGGGTGTGGACTGAGAAGGAGATGTTAGAAGTGAGTGCTTGGGAGTTTGCAGAGGTAAGATATGAATAAAGGAGTTGAGTGTCCAACATAAGCAATTTGTTAATTGGTTTTATTATATGAACCGTCCACTCCACAAGTGCAGTCCGATAGAAAACCATAGTGAAGTTGATGTTTTTTTAGTGCCAGATTGGTTGACATGAGCCAGTCAGGAAAAAGCTGTCCCTGGTGCACTTGTGCTGCTTTGTTGAAAAAAAAAAAAAACATTGTTCACTTTTTGTTGCAAAAAAAGAGTGGAAAAAAAAAGAAGAAAAAGAGAGGTTAACAAAGCCTTTACATTGTATGCTATATCAGTATGCATTTTCTCCATACTGTTCTCCATACATTTCCTAAGGTGCTAACAAGGAGAATTTGGTTAACAGTCAGGAGTTAATCCTTTATTCTAGTGACCATAATTGGTGATTCAGGGGTGATGTTGTTGTGAGAAATTAGATGCTACTTTCACTTATGGATCAAATATTTTTGCCTGCTAAGTTTTAAGAGACAAAGTATTTTAGTGAATAATTTTCAAAGACAATAATCTATGTTATCTAGAGTGACTTCTAAATCATATAGCTGGTAATGTTAATATTGTAATATTGTAATTTTACCGAGTAATTTTACTGGTTTTAATTTAGTTTAATAATATTGTAATGCGCTTTTGAGTATTTTTATAGAAAAAGCGCAATATAAGTATTAAATATTATTATTATTATTATTATTATAAATTGTTACCTATATGTTTTGCTTTTAAGCTGTTTTGTCTGATTCTTGGATTTCTCATACTGGCAGGTCGAGGAACAGCTCTCGATTGCTGAGGATCTGACATTTGACTATGTTTGGGGACCCTATGACCTCCTGATTCTGCCTCCTTCCTTTCCATATGGTGGAATGGAAAATCCTTGTCTGACATTTGTGACACCAACACTGCTGGTTGGACCAGGGGTGGGTACTGACATCCAATAAACACAGATATGGAAGTTAAAAATTTCAAAAGTTACTTTCCTGAAATGGAAGAGCCATTTTTTTAAAAAAAGAAACTAATTGTATCTGTTGCATGGGCATTGTGGATCACAACACAATTTTTTTTATTATTTTTTAGGGAGGCAGACCTTTGACTGATGTAAGTAATGCCTAATTTGTCCTAATATTTTATTGTTAGTAGTTTTACTTCTCCCTGAAAAGATGATGACCATGAATGAAATGCTTGACAGGGGTACATGATAGAGAACAGATTAGTGTTTTTTATCCTTAGCCCCATGTATAGTGTCTTACCTGTTGTTATTTCACATCAAAACACCTGTTCATCCTCTCCTCCCTAATTCCCTCTCTCTTTTTCCCTCCATCTCTCTCCCCTCCCTCTCTTCCTCCCCATTCCCCCTCTCTCCCCTCCCTCTCTTCCTCCCCATTCCCCATTCCCCCTTCCCTTTTCCCTCTTCCCTCATCCTTTCCTTTTTTCTTGCATCTCTCCCTTTCTCCTTCCCTTCTTCCCCTTTTCATTTAATCTTCCTTTGACTTTTAAATTCATCATCTCCAATACCACTATTTGGGCATTAAGAGAAAAAAAACTTTTCTTAAACACTGTCGGTCAGTTACATACCCTGAGCTAAATTGATACTGTTGTGTAACTATTCAGGTGGTAGCCCATGAGATTTCTCACAGCTGGACCGGAAATCTTATCACAAACAGGAACTGGGAACATTTTTGGTACAATATTGTTAATAATTTATATTTATTGAGTTGCAGTTTCATAGTTGTTATCTTTTTTAATATATTACGCAATTGGCACAATTTTTCTAACCAATCATTGGATTACAATACTTCAATGGTAAGTTTTCAATTGGCAAATTAGTGATAAACATTGAACCAAGATTTATTTCTTTTTTAAGGTTTGCAAAAATAGTCTGTAAAATTTTGATTGTCAGTAGAGGTTTATAGTTTACTTAGATCTTGAGCCGTTCCTATTTAACATACAATGGTCATCATGCATAATGACTCTATTAATTCTGACCTGACATCAACATCCAGATTCTCCTTAGCAGTTTTGTGCATTCCTGTAGGTACTTTTTGGAGAAATATGACTCAATTCCTGCCCCCCCCCCTCCCCTTCCCTTCTGTTTTAGTTATGGAAGGAGAACCTGTATTTTGATTGATCAGTCTAAGTGTGAAGCAAGTTTATTCCTGTTTGCCCAGTTTATTGATCAAAGTTTAAATTTTTTTGGAAACCTTGTTGTAGGTTAAATGAAGGATATACAGTCTTTCTTGAGCGTAAAATCCTGGGACGAAGGAAGGGAGAAAAGATGGTGGATTTTGCTTACATAGGTAAGCTTAGGGTGCAATTTAGTATTAACAACTGAGTTGCTAAATGTGAATTTCCCACGGTAAAGAGCTTCAAAGCTGAGACATTTTAAGTGTCAGCCCTTGCCTCAGCTCTGACGCAGGGCTAACTCTCAAAACGTCAGCTTTGAAACTCTTTACAGTGGCCAATTTTATATTATCAATTCAGTTGATAATTCTGAAAAAACTCACTTGATTTTACTGATTTTAATCAATCCTCGTGCTTTATGTTTTAATAATTTTTTTTTTCAATTTTGAAACTACCTTACTATTAATTTATTTTTCTGGCCAATAGACAGTTAATTAACTTGCTCAATTAATTTAGAATTCAACTCCCAGAAGTGATTAACATCCATTATGTCTCCCTATATTATATCACAATTCTGTACATTTTCCAGCAAACAAGTAATGGGAATACTCAAATTTATCTGTTAAAAGTTGTTATCTTGACTTAACACCAAATTCTCATTACTAGTTTACAAGGAAATGTGTAACAGCCGGAGAGGAGAATTAACAATCAGGTCCTCCAAATTGTTGCTGGCTGGGGTTTAAGTGTGTTCCTAAGTATTTACTTTAAATCAATTTTGTTTGGGGATAAATTCTTGTTTCCTACTTTGGTCAACAGGAGGATGGAAAACTTTAAAAGATCAAGTAAGGTCTACTCTACACTCTTTTAATCTTTTCTACCCAACTAAGTTTTTTTCAATTACAAAATTATTCTTTGATCAGATATTTAGTGCTATTACCATAGGGTGCTTAGCACAAATCCATTATTTCATGCTTTTAGACCCTAGAGAATCCTGTGTGATCCAACATGATCCTTATCAGTCATAGAGGATCCTGTTTGTAGGATTTATAATTAGGAATATGTCTATAAAAATCACTGGACAATACAACTTTTGAGAACAAATTTGTTGGTGGTAAAATGAAGCAATTTTTGTTGAACATTGTTGTTTTTGTTGTGGCTAATTTTTTAACTCTCAGATGAAATTTTTAATTCTCTTAACCATCAACCACACAATTCTTATAATGTTAGTTCAGAGAATTTAGTATTGGATCAACTAATTATCCCCAAATATATAATTTTTTATTCTCATCACTTATGTGGTTGATATTTTATTGATACTGTAAGAAGAAATTCTGTCTTGGTCACTTGTGGGAGTTAAAGGGTTAAGAGTGGCAATAGACAACTGATAACAACAAAAGGATGTGGGCAAGTCAGCAGGAAAAAGTGGAAGTAGTTGCTATACAAAAACTTGGAGCCAATCCATTTTCAAACAGTTTTCAAAACTAGATACCAGATGCAGACCTCGTTCATTTATTCAGACTAATTTGAAAAACTGTTTTCAGCTCAAGCAGTTCCCAGAGAACAGTCCTTTTACTAAGTTGGTGGTGGAACTGAAAGACACGGACCCTGATGATTCATTCTCTAGTGTGCCCTATGAAAAAGGGTCTTGCTTCTTGTACTACTTGGAAAGGATCCTTGGAGGACCTGGTTAGAACATGTGATGTAACATACCTGTACACTAACAGTATGACAGCAATAACCCTTTTTTTGAATGAATGAATCGTTGAATGAGCGAGCACTCTGAATGTTAAGAAATTTTTAAAAAATGTCAAGTTTGGATTTTTGCGACATTTGATGATGACAATTGGCTACCATTGATGAGATTGATATTAACAATGATGATGATCATGACAATGATGATGGTGATGACTGCCAACCACAATTTTGGCCACAATGTCATCAATAATTATTACTATTTTTAATTTTTTATTTATAAGTTTGTTAGAATTGTCGGTGCAATGTCAACTCTCTGAGTTTTCTTTATGGCTAGTCAAATACCTACACCTTAGTGAAAAAGCTATGGGCAAAAAGCTTAGCTTAAATATTGGGTCATTTCCAAAAGTGCTTCCGAGCTGCAGATCAGAATTAAATGAGTAGAACTGTTTTGTGATGATAGCTTCAGAAACTCTTTACAGTGGCCAAATTACAGTATCAGTTGAGTTGATAAAACCAAATTATCTTGTTTTATTCATGAACTATGTCTTGAAAACTAAATGCAAACCAAGGAAAAAAAGGTTGCCTACCATCTTTGAATTAAAAAATGAAAGCAACATCCCTAAATGTGGTGTCTTTGAAGCAACTTCAAATGAATGTAAAAAAATGAAGGGCCAACCTGTCTCCCTTTCCCACAAATGGCCCAAGACAGAGGTCTCTGACAGACTGTTGTTGATGGCCTATGCCCCAGGAAAAGTAATGGGCTAAGATAGAGATAGTCAGATAGATTTTCTGCAAGCTTTTCAATATCAACATAATATATTATTATGACATTATGCTATTTATCATATAATGTGATGTTTCAGAGGTGTTTGAACCATTTCTGAAGAAATACTTGGAACACTTTAAGTTCAAGACAGTCAATACAAAAGATTGGAAACATTTCTTGGAGGAATATTTTCATGACAAGGTAGAAAAGAACATTCAACTCTCTTGTAGTACACACCTCTAGAACCCAGGATGGAGTGGGGTGGAGTACTTGCTAGAAGGAGGTTAATGGGAATGTTTAGCTGTATGTAGTCACATTTTCATGACTGGATTGACTATAATGGGATTGTTTTTCCACACACGTTTTCTGGATTTTTAGGATAAAAAGAATCTGGCAAGAAGGGATTAACTAAAAATGGGAAGATTTGTGCTTGAAGAGTTGTTTCATTTGTCCAAAAGTGACAAAGATGGGGTTTATAATTGACCACGGAGTATAGACTGTAATGGGGTAGAGGTTCAGAGAGTCCAGCAGCACATGCTCAGCAATATTTGACCCATGCTCCCCTCTCCCTCCCCCCAGGGCTCTAAGAGAAGGTTGGAAAAATTTCTAGTCAGTGACTCACGTCGTTGACTGAAGGTTGTCCTGGACCATGTATTACTTATGAAACAATCAGAAGTACTCTGAGTAAGCCTTCCAGTCCTAGGATCAAAATATCAATTTTCCAAACTGTCTGCAATATATATATTTTTTATAATTTTAGAGCTGAGAATTGGTAGAGTGTTCTCTAGTTGATATATCTCCTTCTTCTTGTTACTTTCATGCAAAAAATTGGCTCGAAATTGTAAAAAGTAATTCTTCTGTGGTCACCTCTGGGAGGGAAAGGGTCGATTCAGATGATACTTTACCTGCTGGTTTCCCTGCCTGTTTTCTTTCATGATGCGGTGCCCAAAACTATTGAAATAAACATCTTAAGCTTGTATGTTTTGTTCACCCATTTCAGGTCATGTGATAATACTCTAGATGACTGTTTCTTTTAAATTTGTTCTCATTCACGTGCATGTGTGTGACGATTAAAGAAAGGTGAAGTTGGGAATTCCATTGAGACCTGGAATGGGTAAACAAAACATGCAAGCTTAAGAGGTCTATTGCCATTCATCTGACCTCTATCTTAACAACCATTGTTTTAACCATTGCAGAAAGACATTCTGAAGCAGGTTGAGTGGGAAGCTTGGCTCCATAAACCGGGATTGCCACCCGTTAATATGATCGAGTGGTAGGTTCATTTGCCTTGACTTCATGTGCAACTGCTATACAAAGAGGCTGCAACTTTGATTAACCTTTTGACTCCCACAAGTGATTAACAAGTAACTTCTCCCTATAATATCCATACATTTTCCAGCAAGCAGGTAATGAGAAAACTCAAACTTATCTGGTAGAAGTTTATATCTTGATCTGACACCCAATTCAAAAGGGGGTAAGTTTCTAAAGAAACTATGGTGTTACGTCGGTGGGAGAGTATAACAGGTAATGAAGTGTTAACAATTGAGTTTAAAACGTAAATTAGCCACCGTAAAGGGTAAAAAAGCTGACTTTTCGAGCGTTAGCCCTTCGTCAAAGCGATAGACGAAGGGCTAACACTCCAAACGTCAGCTTTTTTATCCTTTACGGTGGCTAATTTACGTTTTCAACTCAGTTGTTAACACTAAATTACCCAATTTACAAGGAGATGTGTAGCAGCTAAAGGGGAGAATCGACAATCATATCTTGGTAGTTGAAGGGTTTTAAATCAAACTCTGTAAACGGCAACCCAATCTCATCTCTGTTGGAGCTTTTTGTTATCCAGTAATGTTAACTTGTAATTCTCTTCGTATCAGGTACGACACTACTTTGAGTTATCCCTGCACAAAATTGTGTGACAGATGGTTGGCGGTTAGTGAATATGTATTATCTTCTCTGACAATAAACTTATGGATTGTTTAGATTCTTATTTTTTTCTTCATTTATATCCTTCATGAAAGAATTTACAGCACAACTGTTTCCATTTCTTTAAACTTATTTTCTGTAAATTATAGTCAAGACCAATTTTTAATTCAATGTCTGATGTAATTCGGGATTGTTTTGATTTTTCTTTACCTCGTTATGCAATTGGTTCAAAAAACTCACGCCACTTGCTTAACCAATCAGATTCAATACTAAAACCAATCACGACTTGGTTGCACGCGTTTTCCCGCGCTTTAGGCTGTTTGCGCGTTTTTACTTCAAGTTCTCGTTGGCTCATCATTATTTTCCCTTGTTATGTTTGGCTGTTGTGATTATTTGGGATTTGGTTATACAATACTCAAACGAAAAGAGATACAAGATCCAGTGGTAAAGTAACATATTTTGCAAGTGCTTTTATTCATTTTATATTCATTATTTTGTTTTCACAGCCTGAGTCTGAACTGGGCTCATTTTCTCCTGATGACATCAAAGATTTTTCACCGCCTCAAGTTGTGGAATTTTTGGCTCAACTAGTGGATAAGGTTAAGAAACACAAAACTTATTCACTATTCTTAATTCCACCTGACATACAATTACTTGTAAGTTAGTAAACCCTTTCACTCCTAAGATCTCTTTGGTAATTCTCCTTACTGTCTGCCATACAACTCTTGCAATGTAAGTACAGAGAATTTGGTAATGGATCAACTAGTAACCCCCTAATTGATATTTGTCTTTATTCTCATCACTTTTCTGCTTGATATTTGCCTCATGTTTGTGGAGAGATTTACCAAACATGATAAAAGTTCACTCGCGTGCTTCACTGTATGAAAATTCCAGCAAATGAAATATGTGCTATTGCAGAATTAGGGTGGGTATAAACGCACAAGCTGCAAGTGTTTTGAATATATAAAGATTTACTTAATTTCTTTAATTTTAACAGACAACTGACAATCCCTCGTTGGACCTATCGCATTTGAAGAAAATGGATGAATTGTACGATTTTACGTCGTCAAGAAACTCTGAGATCAAATTCAGGTGAGACGTTCATTTCTTAGTAGAAGAGCCAGAGACAGAGAAAAAAATTAGGTCTGAACTAATTGACGACTGTGTTGAATTTTGATCAAAAAGAGTGATGTTGGTTTACTTTGTTTCTTCCATTTTTTTTAAGGTGGCTCCGTCTTTGTGTAAGAGGAGTGTGGCAAGATCGGTACCCACAGACAGTGACCTTCATCACCATCCAAGGGAGGATGAAGTATATCAGGCCCTTGTACAAGTAAGAAAAATGCCTGTTTTACGTTCCTAGTTTTTGGAACAGGATTTATTTGTTTAAACGTTATTTTAATTACTTTGATATCTCAAAATGTGTTAACGTTTTGTTAGGTTTTCTTCTTGTTTTCGTATTCAACTCAGTTCTCGTAATTTGCCCTCCAGGGAGTTATATGCAAAGGAAGAGTCGAAGGAGTTGGCTGTGACAACATTCCAGGAAAATCGTGCCTTTTATCACCCCATTGCTGCCGCCCAGCTTGCGAAGGATTTAGGCCTCGAGTAACATCAAGAGAACAAAAATTCCGATGCAGAAAACGTTCGATAACGCAGTCAAAGAAACAGGAAGGAAATAGATCTCCATTAAATCTAAGAAATAGAGCAATTTTCAATTTAGTGTCGAAAGTAATTCGGGATTCTAACAAATTAAAAGATAGAGCGTTGGGATTTCACCAACGGAAACGAGAAAATTGATTAGAGAAATAATCGCACATCAAGACATACGCAGAGTAAGTAGAAAAAATTAAATTCGTTTCGTAAAAGCAAGCTACAGGTACAAGGAAATAGAACAAAAGACGAAACTTAACACACAAGTTCAAATACGTTGAGTAGTACTTATAACGGATTTTGTTTTTTCGCTGCCATATTCCAGTCAACCTTACGCATAAAGTAAGTTTTTATGCAGGGTTTTTCCAACTCAGCTTTTTACTGAAAAGGAGTGAAAAATCCTTTGAAGTGTAGTATTCGTAAGTGTCATATTCCGTCAATAATTTTAAAGCAATTTCGATAACATCAACGTAGTCTATTATTTTGAACACTAGAAACAGGAGAATCAAGACACAGGCAGAAAACTTTGAGATGCAATAAAGAGCATTACCATTAAATTTTTGTCAATGAATCGTTTATCAGAAAATCAGAAAGAAAAGTGACTTCTATTGGTGGCCGTTTCTTTCTATACTAAAACTGCTACGAGAATCGCAGCGCTCATACGATCAATCCTTGGTCAAAAATAGCTTCGTTTTAATATTTAAAAGAACACTTTCTCCTGATTCAAGGTTAATGTCTTTCTTCATTTGGTAGCCGCTCCCTGCAGTTTCTAACAAGGGCACCAGTCCTATACCAAAGCTTCCAGGGCCGAGCGGCCGTGCCTCCAAACGCGAACGGGATCTGGGTATGAGACAAGAAAAGCTCCTTTAGAGCAAAAAAAGCAAAAAAGAAAGTAAATTGAAGTGTGCTCGCCAAAATCATCATCGTTATCGTTTTCGTTATTGTTACTCTTGGACAAAATTTCGACATGTATGGTGATGTAACTATCAGCAAATTTATTTTGGCTTAATTAAATTTAAGCCTGAAAGGAGGCTTTTTCAAACGCGTATTTACTTAACTGAAAAGAACTGAATCAAAATAATTTACTCTTCTATGACCCTTTTTGGAAAGTCTTATACCCATCGCAATATTTCACTTACAATTCAAGAAATCGGCTCGTGTGCCCCAAATTCAAATGGGACGTCATCTCCAAGGAGTACAAAGGCAGCACAGTGCTTGATTTCACTAAACGCGTTGCATTTTCTCATATATTTCATGGCTGGGTTAAGAGCTTCACTTGCACTCTTTCCTTTGGTCAAATGTTTGTAGAAACTCTTCATGAACACTATAGTGGCCTTGTCATTAATCGTCCATAAGGTCACCAGAACAGATTAAGCACTTGCCCCCATGGACGCTCGCTCTATACCGACCACACCCTCAGCTTTGATGATCTCTCTTCTACCACTGCGACAGCAGTTTAGTGCATTAAGCCTTGCTCGTATTTAAACACTCAGCTTATCCTTCATTGTTAAAAGAAAGTCTTCCTCAGTTGGAATCTGGAATGTTCGCGTCGGGCCTGGAGCTAAGGAGTTGTCACCTGTTTCCATCTGACCATGAGCTGCTCTTACTATGCCGAATGATTAAGAAGACATTTTTTGCATTGTGGCCCAATGCGATTGGAGACAAAGTAGGCTTGATTCGCTTAAAAATTTGGTGTTCTTCATGCAAAACGCCATAGCATATAAACAAATCTGGCTCCATTCCACTTAATAACATTTAAAATCGTAAATTTCACTTGCTTTTGTAACCGCATAGTTTTCCTAAAATAAAAAAATTTACATTCAGTTATGAAACCTGTTCAAGAATCTGCAGAGGCATGCGCAAGGCGAGCGGAAATGTGAGTCAAGCGCAATCTTCCGTTCGCCTGAAAACGCAAAAAAATCACACCGGTTCAGCAGGCTACTCAAGAGAAATGTCTACTGCTAAGTAAAGGTCAGTTTGACTAGAGATATTAAATTGTAAAATCGGAACTTAAAGTGTTGATCGATTGAGATAGGGCTGAGTCCGCCTTATAGAGGTCTCAGATTATCTTGGCAAGTTAATTATAAGAAAGTGATCATAAGATCACAAATACAACTATATTCACCGAATGACACAGAATTTCGTTAAATCTTCACTCAGTGGAAAATGAAATTCTCTTTTCTTCATCCCTAAATATTGGCAATAAATTCTTCAACAGCCTCTTGAAAGTTCTAATAAGTGAAGTGCAGTAAGGATATATTAAATGGAGCTCAGAGTTTTAAATAATAGCCGTGGTTACCGGCGGTCCACCATCGCCTGTAATGAGGACCTCTGACTACCTTCTGTTAAGCCTGCGAGCAGGTTTTGTGTTTGGATTCGCCTTAAGGCATAGCTTCCTATTACACCATCGGCAGCCGCTTATGGAAAAGACATTTGAAACCCCAGCGCACAGAGCTGCACTTTCATGTCAGTCTTGGCTACGTATAAATATCAAACTAACGAACGCTTATAACTCGACTTTCGAACGCTTATAACTCGACTTTCGTGCGATACCGATGAAAACTCGCATATATAGTAGGACGCAATAACTGGCGCAAGTAAAATAGGTAACTTATATTTGATAATGCAGCGGGCCAAGTCACTAAATACGAGGTGAAGTTAGTTCTACTCTTAAATTTGAACTCTAGGCTTCAACGTTTTGTAACAGGACAAAAATGCGTTCAGAATTCTTTGATACAATTTAAGCTGGTTATCGCTGGAATTTCCTTAAAATTGCGAACGTGATCTTTAACTTCCGCAAGTATTTTATGAATTGTAATTTTCCGCAACATTTACAGTTAACACAGTATTAAAGAGGACAAACTTATTAGCCAGAGGACATTATCTTGACAAAACACAAAATTTCGAAGACTAAAACTCAAGGAGACGTAGAGTGAGTTTTGAACTTTCAACGGAAAGGATAGAGTACAGCGCGAGGTGAGCCGGAAAAGGCAGAAATCTTGGGCGGAGGAAAAAAGCATTTCATCCCATAATCTGTGAAAAAGAATTACACATTCTTGCCTCGTAGATAAAAGTTACGTTAAAATGAACGAGTACCATCAGTGTCTACTATTTTATTACGATCGGGGCACGATTATTGATTGTTGATTGGCGGAGACAGGAGTCATTTATACTGAAAATCCGAGAGCCCTTTTAGTGATTTTTTGGTAACTTTTGGAAGAAAAGATAAGTACTTTATCTCGACTCAGTGAGAGCGTGTTGTTTACAACGAGTCAGTTTCCTGTCTTTGAGGAGTTAATATTTGTGCATATTTGAAGGTCTCACTGAGGTTAACCGAATAGCCGTGTTCAGGAAGAGAGAAAGTTAACCTTGAAAGAACAATTTCTGGTGACAACAATGGAATGACGTTAACCGTTAGCCGTAAACTTGCCAAAATTGGAACCGTTAGCCGTAAAAGTAATCACCCCATGGAGACCCACTTATTTCACAAAAACTCAAAATAAATAAATAAATAAATAATACAAAAAGCGGAAAGCAGTGGTATTGATAGAGGATTCTTCAATAACCTCTTTAGACCCAAGAAAGCAATATACACATAATTATTATAATGAGCCTTCATTTAATTGAATACAGATCCCAGATAAGAAGTATAGGAAATTAAAAGAAAACAAGAACAAATGAAGAAACAATTAAAATTTGCCAACTTTTATGATATGGTCCAGAGTAAAATGTCGAAACCAATCAATTAAAAGGGGAAAGAGTTCAGAAAGTAATTATTCATTGGGTAATCAATTCTGTTTACAAACGTTTCAGCGACACGAGAAAAATCGTTTTACTTTCGGACCTAATATTCCTGGATGATATCGTTTATCAATTACTTTCAAATCAGAAAGAATATTCATTAGAAGAGGTTTCATTTATATTTTTAGAAAATTAACTGCTTTCATTCGTGTTTCCTTTTCCATCGTTGGATTTAGCATTGGGAATTATTGCGGACTGGCGCCTAGCGGCATTATTTATCGCCTGTGGGGGGAGGGGGAGGTTGGGCATCTTTGTTGCATCACGACAAATTCACCGGATCCCTCATAAGGGACCCCATAAGGCTCTGCAGTATTATGATGATTCCCCCCCCCCCTCATTGCAGCCACTTTTCTATTATCCCCCCCCCTTTCAATTCTGTAATAGCCCGCAGTGCAAGCGTCTTATTAGTGCGAGCTAATGTTATAAGCTCGCGATCGTTTATCCAACCAGCCATGTTTGATTTTCAGTCAAAGTGGACGGTGGGTGAAGGGGGAGGGGGAAGGGAGAAACTAATCTTCACTTCCCCGCCCTCACCCCTCTCCTTACTTTTGACCTTCGAACGCCCCCTTGGTACAAATTTATTTCTCTCCCCAGCCTTCCGCTGTCATTAAAATTAAAGATGGCGGCCATAATTTTCGTTATGAAATTACGCACTCGCTCGCCAAAATTACGCCTGCTCAGCAGGCTAATTCTGTAAGAGACAACTGATCCCCCCTAAAAACTATGTGATCCCCAAAATTCCTCCGATCCCACTCAGGCGATAATTCATTTCTGGTCGCTATAGGGTGAAATATAAAATTAGTGGGTATGCAGTATGTTTTCTTTCCCTCTCTCTCTCAATCTCCTATTGCGCCTTCTGTTTCCTTGTCCACCGCTCCCTCTTCCGCCGTTCCTCAGTTTTCAAATCCTTTTATTCCACATTCCAATATTCTTAAACATCCTCGGTTCGTTGGCGCAATCGATCGAACGTTCCATCATTTTTTTTTTCCGTTTTTATTCTACTGATTTCTCACTGCAAGTCGATGTATTTGTGTGGTTTATCCCAGATTCAGATGAGGGCCCGGGAGTCAAGCTTAAATGAACGTTACACTGGGGAATATGCGTCTCAGTCACATTCTACTTTTCTTCCCTTTTCTCGAACATCACGTGCGCCCTTTGTTTTTCCTTATCCGCTGCTCCCTCTTCCGCCGTTCCTCAGTTCCCAAAGTCCTCCCTTCCTTGTTCCAATATTCTCAAACTTACCCGTCTTGTCCGCTTGATTTATCGAACGTTGGATCGGTTTTTTCGGTTTTTGACTGATTTATCCCCGTAAGTCGATACATTTTTGTGGTGAAATCATTTTTTCATTATTAATCTATTATTCCTACCTATGAATAAAAGAGAGTTCCTTGCTTAGAAATTTTAGAAATGTCGATTGCAGTGAGTTTACGCTCCAAGGAAAATGTTATTGATTCTTGATAAAGCGGAATTCGAAGTAGTTTCCAGATCACGCAATCGATCAGACAGAGGCATGTTTTCATTTTACTTTCGATTACCTTAAATGGTTTTTTTAAATTGTGTTGGTTTTGAACTGTTTTGACTGAGCGCCATTCAAGGACATTCTAATAATTTCCTCAAGGCGAAGCCGGTTATGCAAGAAATCTAAAATTATTCACTGAGCAAAAAAATTCGAAACGAAAAATTGCTGGATTTTCCTGTGAACGGAAATAAGATCGTGATACGAAATCAAACGAATATTTAAACTTCCTGTGGATCTGTGACTGGTTGACGAGTAATTCTCTCTACTCATTTTTAAACATCTTGTGGTAAGTCGTTGTGAGAAGTTATTAATGGATCAACGCGGTTTCTGACTGAGGAATCATGTTGTGTTCCTCTCGTCCGTCTGCTGGGCGATGTAGAGAGAATGAAAACATTGGTCACATGTAAAATGGCAGTGTAAGATAATTTTCCACGATGTAAATGAATAAAGATCAACAATTTTTCGATCCAAATCGCAGACTCTCAACCATTATGCTCTCTACGCTCAGGAAAACATATTTTTTGTTGTGCGTGACCGGAGAATTCTCGAGGGCCAGTGAGGGCGGTCACCGACGCGAAGCCTGAGTCCTTGCTCAAAATTATGCCCATATTAGGTAAAAATAAACGGAACGCTTCATACAGTATTCCCACATTGCACGTGCGAAAATTTCAATATTTTATGAAAATATGGCGAAATTTTGCGCGTCAGATCCGCATCATGAGCGATTTTATTCTTTAAAAGCGACAAATTTGGGCAAGTTTGCTTGTAAACATGCAAATATTTCACTTTTCCGCATGGATTCCTTGAATAAACATCATCAAGTGAGCGTCATCAGCGGGATGAACGTGCTTATCAGCCCAGCCAATCAGAAGCTTGCACGAGTTTTGCTGTATATATAATGCTGTGAGGCTCTTATCTTATTACTTTTCGACGGGAGTTGTGCTCGTAGTCAGTTGTAATCTCATCTTGTTCCGCACCTTTAAAGTTACCTTCTAGAAATGGCCGACGAGGACGTTGCTGCTTTGGTCGTGGACAATGGCTCTGGTATGTGCAAAGCTGGTTTTGCTGGAGATGATGCTCCCAGAGCTGTTTTCCCTTCCATCGTCGGTCGCCCAAGACATCAGGGTGTGATGGTTGGTATGGGACAGAAAGACTCGTATGTCGGCGATGAAGCCCAGAGTAAGCGAGGTATTCTTACCTTGAAATATCCAATCGAACACGGAATTGTTACAAACTGGGACGATATGGAAAAGGTAAGGTTTCCAAATTTATTTCGTGTTAAAAAATTGACAAATTACTGATGGTTTTTGCTAAATTTCAGATCTGGCATCACACCTTCTACAACGAACTTAGGGTTGCCCCAGAGGAACACCCAGTTTTGTTGACCGAGGCTCCATTGAACCCCAAAGCCAACAGAGAGAAGATGACTCAGGTAATATTCGTTTGCAAAAAATTTAGAAACAATCACCGCATGAGGGAACATTGTAATGTAGCGATTTAAATTCGGCGTTTTTAAGCTCAGCCGGCAACTGCTCATTTTATCTAATCTGCATAATTTTTGTGCTGAGTAAGTGCGGCAGGAGTGAACAGAAATTTGTTTTTTTAACGACATCTGTTAACGTTCAGAATTTTGTGCGCAAGATTAAAAATCATGTTTTCTGCAACGGTTTCAGAGCTATATGTTAATGAGATTGCATTTAAACGCTTGATCAATATTTCATCTGGGCTGTCTCTCGACCACGGAATTTGAAAGGTTCAAATTGGCTAACCTCTTACAGAGGAAGGCACGCGGAAAGTTGCCACAGTACAGTAACAATTTGGCTACAGCGCCAGTCGAAAGCTAGTAGTATGCCGTAGAGACAAAGAATGCTAAATCTGCTTAAAATATCGTTTAAAATACGAAAATTTTTTTGGTTAATCGAGCAAATTATTTGTCCACCGGGACCTCTTAACAGGGAACGATGTGTTGCCTAATTTGGTCATGTTGTTTTGTGATTGGTCAGGTTGAAAATCACACCATTAGAGGTTCGAAAACGTGACGTGGGAGTATTGTTGGACTATCAGTACTCTGTAGGTTTTATTTCCTCGGAATATTTTGACTACGAACAGAACCTTCTATTCCAAACGATGATCATTTTGATTAAAAAATTGTGAACCTGCACCCAAAAATTGTTTTTATGTGAGCTGTAGAGAGCGTATCCGTTTTACTGCGATATTTGAGCAAATATTATTTTAAGAAAACAACAGTATTGTTTGACGTAAATTTGGATCTCTGCATACATGGGCTTAATTACCGGAAATTAGCACAGAACTGAAAGGAACATAAGTGTTCCTTTATCATCTAGAAGAATCTCGTATCATGTAAAATTTCGAGTTGATGTACTTCGAGCGGATGTTAAAAGACTTGTAGAATAACGTTTATATTATCGGAGCTCCCACTTTCAAGAAATGTTAAGTAAATTGCGGCCTCTCTTCCTTTTCAGATCATGTTTGAGACCTTCAATTCACCAGCCATGTATGTCGCCATCCAAGCTGTACTTTCGCTGTACGCTTCTGGTCGAACAACTGGCATCGTTTTTGACAGCGGCGATGGTGTAAGCCACACTGTACCCATCTATGAAGGATACGCTCTTCCCCACGCCATCCTTCGTCTTGACTTGGCTGGCAGGGACTTGACCGACTATTTGATGAAGATCTTGACAGAACGTGGATATTCTTTCACCACAACCGCCGAGCGTGAAATTGTGCGTGACATCAAGGAAAAGCTCAACTATGTCGCCCTTGACTTCGAACAGGAAATGCAGACTGCTGCCTCAAGCTCCAGCTTGGAGAAGAGCTATGAACTTCCTGATGGACAGGTTATCACCATCGGAAACGAGAGATTCCGTGCTCCAGAGGCCATGTTCCAGCCATCCTTCCTTGGAATGGAAGCTGCTGGTATCCATGAGACCACTTACAACTCGATCATGAAGTGTGATGTTGACATCCGTAAGGACTTGTACGCTAACACTGTGCTCTCTGGTGGCTCCACCATGTTCCCAGGAATTGCTGACAGAATGCAGAAAGAAATCACTGCCCTGGCTCCACCCACGATGAAAATCAAGATTATTGCTCCTCCCGAGCGAAAATACTCTGTATGGATTGGAGGATCAATCTTGGCCTCTCTGTCCACCTTCCAACAGATGTGGATCTCCAAGCAGGAATATGATGAATCTGGCCCCTCCATTGTTCACCGCAAATGCTTCTAAGCAAATGGTTTTACAACAGCTGATTATGTGGAAACATTTTCAGGATTACACTCGGAACTGACTTTGAGCCTGCTCTAAAGAGACTTGAAACGTTATTTTCAAGGAAACGCGTTTTGACTATTGTAATATGAATCATTAATAGTTTTATAAAAGATGTGAAAATAAACGTTGAAAATTAGCAGAAATATAACTTGTTGTGTTGGTTTTCCCTTGAGTCTGTTTGTCTGCGTTGTTGACAATTCTCGAAAATACTAAATTCGACGTGGTTTTCAGACCAAGGAATCGGAAAGGCGTACATATTTAATCTTTGATTATCTAATATAACCTGTATAATTCTGTTTGAGTCAGTTGTAATCTGTTGTGACTAAACAATCTTTCGTACAAAAACGGAGATTGCGTGACCACCCCACTGCGGTCAAAGAACTGTCGGTACAAAGGAAAAGCTCATTCTGTATGCACCAGATTGACCGCGACTGTTCTACGCAGCCATTGCGTGACAGCACTAAATCTGTAGAAATGTTCCCTGAAAGAGAGAGTTCTCAGACCAAAACCTTGTACCTATTCATTTGTTCACTAACTCTATAGAAATGTGCCTGAAAGAGAGAGTTAACAGACCAAAACCCTGCTGATTTTATGGTGGCTGGCGAATTCGAACTTTGTGCATTTTGTTAGGTTACAAAACTTTGCTATACTTGAGCATAGGTTTTTTAATTTGATAGCGGAATTTAATTTTACCATTCGTATATCTTACTTTCAGCAATTGTTTATGGTCAAATTCTCGGGAAATGTTGAATTCTTCGAAGCGATGTACTAAGAGACAAAGAAGATAGAACGATCTATTTTCATCCGTTCTCTGTCCCTGTGTCTCCGCCCCCCAATTTTTTCTCAAGCATCCCTTGAAAATTTAATTCTGCAATGTGAAGGGTAGATTTTTTTAAGTCGACAGCTCAGGAAACGTTGTCTGAAGTGCCGAAGTCCGTGGGAGTGGGGGTTGAAGGTTGGAAAAGGATGGTGAATGGAGAGGATGAAACTTCTTTGCTGGATCTGAATGGAGAAGGTTCAAATAAGATAAATTATTATGAGGGTGGAACTAAACTCACCTGTGACAACCACGCTTTAAAATCCATTCCAAATACTACATTTTACTAAATGAATAATAAAAAAACTAACGATCTTAGAGGAATGAGGTGTTGTAAGATTTTCCCTTGACCCCATGTACTGGTTCCATTTTAAGTCTGTCCCTGGAATGGTTATCCCAAGATATCAAAAAGTTTCCAGAGATGTTCCAGATAGTTGTGAAGGTGGCTTAGAGAGATGACAGTAATATGTTTAGATTTTTGCTGCTCTTTCTTCCATAACCAAAGCTTTTGGCTAAATGTGTGATCATCTGAATGGAGTTTTGTTCCTCTTTAATCTATACAAGTTGCTGTGACATTGTGCATTTTTCATAAATAAGTTAACTAACCCTTCCACTCCCAATATCTCAGTAGTGATTCTCCTTACTGTCTGCTATACAAATTCTCATGATGTTAATTTGGGGAATTTGGTCTTGGATATACTAATCCCTAATTGATATTTTTCTGTATTCTCATCACTTGTCTGCTTGATATTGTATTGATATTGTATGGAGAAATTCTGTCTTGATCACTTATCAGAGCTAGGTAGTGGGTACACCAGGTATACAATAAGTATTCTGTAAAAAAAGAATGGTTTGTGTTCAAACACAAATAATGAGAGATGTGAATTAAGCGTTGGCTGATCACATTTCACACCAGCTGTTCCACACTAACAGCCAATCTATTCTTCTATCAGGGAAACTGAGTGTTTCAGATGTCAGGAGGGGAGAACCAATTGCAGATGGAAAAAAAAATGTCTTAAGTACAAGGTAAGACTAGGGAAATGTATTCCTCATTGATAACTTTTTTGTAAATTTGCATTTTTTGACAAAGGAGTATCACTGGAAACATTAAATAAATTTTGGTGCAAACAGGTATAGTTTACCAGGATTAACTCAAGCCAACTATCTTTACACATAATAGAAAGGAAGGAAACTGGATTTAACATCACCATGAGCCTAGATGTTGTTTCCTTTGAAAAAAATTTGCATGTGCTGTTTGCATGTGATATGTGCTCTTTGAATTATAAAGTTAACACATGTATCCCTTGCTAAAGTTTAAGAAACCTGTAAACAATGAGAACTGAATGAGTGTCAAAAGAAAGAAAATATATGTCACAATATTGGAAACAAAACTCTTATCTCCCTTTAAAAATTTTGAAATGTTTTCCATTTTAAAACTTTTATCTCCTTTTAAATATGTTGAAATGTTTTCCTTTTTAAGGCTGCCTTGAGAAAAGTTTTTTCAGAATCAATTTCTTTGATATTTTTTGGTTAATAAATAATCAGGTCAACTCTACATCCCATGCCATTAGAGGAGGAACCATTTCTTGAGGTGAGAAGTTTGGCCTTGTGAAAATTGAAGTTATTGAATGATAGACATTCTCAGAAATTTGCGAACACTGTGAGTTTCATGTCAAAAGACACCATGTACTAAAAATGTTTCTTATTTGATGTAATTTTGATAAAATTAAAGCTAGCAAAGTTTCCTTTCAAAATGTTCACATAACCACTAACATTTAAAACAATATTTCACCTAGTTACTTACCTTATTTCACCCACAAGAAGTTATTTTTTTTGGTGACACTTGGTTTGTCACACATTCCTCTCAATAACATTTGTGTTTCATGGCTATGTGAAATCAGAAGAGGTGCATAATTGCTGCTTGGATTGAAGAGAATAACAAACTGGAACCTAGATAGGAAAAACCAAAAACCGCATTGGATATTAAATCTGAAACCTTTTAGTAAGTTCTTTGATGAAATCTGCAAAGTGCAATGAACATCAAAACCAAAATAGTGAAGTTTTTTGGGCACAAAAGCCACAAATTCAATCTAAAAAATACCCAAAACCGTTAAAGAGAAAATCTCGACGCCCCCTCTCTTTGTGTACGGACTCAACTGTTTACCTTTACTGTTTTCATTGGGACTCCAGCAAAAAACCAGTAAAAACAAGAGCTTTATTTTGATTATGATTGTGAGAACTGTTTTAATATTACATTAGATGATCCATCTGGCACCTAGAGGAAATTTCAAACATCAAATAGACTATCACTATAATTTCCAGAATGTTATTTCTTTTAGTTTTATTCATTTCCTATCCTAGCAGTATGCAGGAAGTTTGTCACTAAGCACCTAGTTAAATGGCCATGATGCCACAAGCCTCCTTTATTCTCATGACATTGATGTTTGATTTAGGGGGCATATTGTAAAGAGAAATTAGATGCTTAATGGTCTGTCTTAGGTTTGCTTGATGGTGGACACCAGAGCTCTCAGACACTCAATGATTCTTTTAAGAGCTGAGCATTGCCTCTTGATGGTTTATTGCTAAGGAAAATGTGATAAACCCTGGTGAAAAACCTCACAGGATCTTTGAGGATCTTCAAGGATTGACAAAGACCTGCCAAAGATCCTTAAGGACAAGGATCTTTAAAAGATCTTTAAAGGATCTGTAAAAGATCCTCAAAGATCTTTGTAAGCAAAAACGTTTGTTAAGATCCTCAAGGATTTGATAAAGATCCTCAAAGGATATTACAAAGATCCTCATAAGGATCCTCGCAAAGTTCTTTTCAAGGATCCTTCAAGATCCTCAAGGATTTATCAAGGATCTTTCAAAGACCCTCAAAAGATCCTTTCAAGGATCCTTTCAAGATCTTTGTAAGGATCCTTAAGGATTTAATCAGGATCTTGCAAGGATCCTAGTCAAGATCTTTGCAGGATCTTTTTTTGAGGATCTTTCAAGATCCTCAAGGATTTAATGAGGATCTTTTAAAGACCTTCCAAAGATCCTTTCAAGGATCCTATTAAGATCTTTGCAAGGATCCTTAAGGATTTGATCAGGATCTTACAAGGATCCTACTCAAGATCTTTGCAAGATCTTTTCAAGGATCCTTCAAGATCCTCAAGGATTTAATGAGGATCTTTTAAAGACCTACAAAAGATCCTTTCAAGGATCCTGTAAAGATCTTTGCCAGGATCCTTAGGAATTTGATCAGGATCTTACAAGGATCCTTAAGTCAAGATCTTTGCAGGATCTTTTCAAGGATCCTTCAGGATCCTCAAGGATTTAATGAGGATCTTTTAAAGACCTTCAAAAGAACCTGTCAGGGATCCTGCTAAGATCTTTGCTAAGATCCTTAAGAATTCTAGTCAAGATCTTTGCACAATCTGTTCTACAATCCTTCAAGATCCTCAAGGAATTGAAAAGGATCTTCCAAATATCTTTAAAAGATTCATTTCATGATTTTGTACAGCTCTTTGCAAGGATCCTTTTTTAATCTGATATGGATAATTTAAACACAACAAGGAATTTTCGCAGAAAATTATTGTGCAATAAGTGTAATGAAGGTTAACGCATAGCAACGCCATGCTTGAGGCTTTAGGGAAACTTTGTGACAACTTACATGACAGTAAATAGGGTTTTGCATTATGGGATAGGAATTTATACGCGCCGAGATTTTTAACGGTCGCATAAAAACATAAGAAGCTCGTTGTTACGGCAAATATCATCGACAATGGTCGGAACTAAGGGGAAAATGTACACAGAAATAAAAGTAAAGGAAAGGCGTTTTCTGGAGTTCAGAAACAAGCGAAAAGAGAGACAGAAATAACCGCAATCGTCAATCAAACTCCAAGCAGGTCTCGCGATTGCTCTGACTCTGAGGCTTAATGAAAAGAATTCATTGGTACTTCTGGAAAGAAAATGAAGATGCCATCCTCGCCTAATGATTCTTGCTCTGAGCTCTTGGAGAGTGAGGATGCAAATGATGTGTTACAGGGACAAGGATAAAGGCTTATCGATCTAGAGAGATTCTCCTCGACGCTCACTGAAGGACATGTTTCTGAAGAAGGTGTGAATTTACTTGGTTCTGTGTAACAACTTAAAA